ATCATCACCATCACTATCATCATCACCATCACTATCATCATCACCATCACTATCATCATCATCATCACCATCATCACCATCACTATCATCATCACCATCATCACCATCACTATCATCATCACCATCACCATCATCACCACCACCATCATCATCATCATCACCATCACCATCACTATCACCATCACCATCAAATATCCATTTCTTGTTTGTTTCCTTTTAACCATCATCAAACATGGGTGTATACTTTCTTTTGCCCGGCGGTTTATATCTTGGATAATGATTCTTGCTATGCACGCTCTGTTTACTTACAGACAAACCAGTGAAGATCCGGGTTGGAATTGGTCTTCAGCAACCCATGCTATTGAAAGAGGCGACTAACGGATCAGGTGGTCAGGCTCCTGACTTGGTTGATGTCACCGTATCCCATGATGCTCTTGTTATCAATCATTGATTCGTCTGGTCCTAATTATTTACAGACCTCCGTCATGTCACTGGAATATTGCTGAGTGCGGCGTTAAACAACAAACAAACAGTTTCTGACAAATAAACAAGAAAGTAATATTTAAAAAACCGAGATCAAGCTGCTGCACTACATGGCGAGGGACACAACCATGCTTTATTCGTTGTAAATCATAAAAAAAAACAATGTCAAAAACTCAGCACGTTTAACCTTAATTATTTTGTCATCGTAGTTAAGGGCATGTGTAGCCCAGTGGACAAGTTCGTCGCTACTCGCTGTGGGTTCGAATCCCAGGCATGACCGGCCTTTGATCCTTGTGTGTCAACATCATATCCGTGTCGTGTATTCCTCTCGTGTTACTTAGGACTGTGGGACCGCTTCCGTGGTCTCGTGGTAGAGCGCCCGCCCGGAGAGCAGAAGATGCATGCACGTCGCTATATATAAGTGCAATAATCTTGGACGCGACGTTAAACCCAATTTCACCCCACTTCACTTAGGACTTAGTAGTTTCCCCCAATAAAAAAAATCACGAAAAAATGTTTCAAGTTTACACCAACTGAGTCACTCAGTCACTTCACAACGCGCGTGTGTCCAGATTTGAGCATATACTACTCAAAAGAAGTTAAACATCTCTCGATTCTTTCACATCACAGTAGTCAATCTGTCATGACATATATGAAAGAATCGGATGGTGCTTAACTTCTCTTGAGTAGTGGGGGCATGGGTGGCCTAGTCGTCTAAGGCGCCGCGATTCGCTATGCAGAGTTGCGTCCCTTGGGCACGCCAGAAACCTATGATTGTGGGTTCGAATCCCGGTTCGCCCCGATTATGTTTCTAGGTTTGTCAGCACCATACCCGTGCTCGTGGGTTTCACCGAAGTGGTAAATGTCTGAGACCTGCATCACTTGGGGCTTTCCTCCCACATTAAGCTGACACGGCGTGATATAACTGGAATACTGTTAAAAGCGGCGCTAAACCCAACTCACCCACTCACTCACTTTTTTGAGTAGTATACATATGCATATCGGGGGATTGTCTTGTTTTATGTATTCCCGTATAACTACATGCCCTACACGCTGATTATAGAGTACTTCAGCGCTCATGTCACCTCTGCCATGTGTGTGTATCTAAGTGACACTGAGACAGATTTGAAAACTTTTGACCTGTCACATGAAGCATCTTCACCCACACACTGATGTCTTACACAATGTATCAAACGCATCCATTTGCTGTGGCTGAACGCGCGACCCTGGGGCCGAGTGGGCTTCTCGCCTTGTCTGTTCACGTTTACACCTGACACAATGATCTATATACAGTGACTAATAGTCAGTCATACAGGCCCTGAAACATTTATATCCAGTACACCCCATGCCAGTCTATACTATTTGGCATGTCTGGATTATTCTAGGAAATGGCCACCTTTTATTATATTTTTAACGATTTTAAAGATTTAATTTAACAACTGTTTTTTTTTGGTGTAAAATATGTTCGTTTCAGAGACTAGATATCAGTCAAAGTGACTGACCATGCATGACATATAGCAACGTGCCCTCGTGTACTTAACAAAGTACGTTGTAACGCCCTGTCCACCGGTACTTGATGTAACACCCTGTCTCTCTGTGCTTAACGTAACACGCTGTCCACTTGTCCTTAACGTAACACTCTGTCTACCTGTACTTAGCGTAACACGCTGCCCACATGTACCTAACGTAACACCCTGTCTCTCTGTGCTTAACGTAACACGCTGTCCACTTGTCCTTAACGTAACACTCTGTCTACCTGTACTTAGCGTAACACGCTGCCCACATGTACTTAACGTAACACCCTGTCGCTCTGTGCTTAACGTAACACGCTGCCCACATGTACTTAACGTAACACTCTGTCTACCTGTAATAACCTAACACCCTGTCAATCTGTACTTAACGTAACACTCTGTCTACCTGTAATAACCTAACACCCTGTCAATCTGTACTTAACGTAACACTATGTCCACCTGTAATAACCTAACACCCTGTCAATCTGTACTTAACGTAACACTATGTCCACCTGTAATAACCTAACACCCTGTCAATCTGTACTTAACGTAACACTATGTCCACCTGTAATAACCTAACACCCTGTCAATCTATACTTAACGTAACACTCTGTCTACCTGTAATAACCTAACACCCTGTCAATCTGTACTTAACGTAACACTATGTCCACCTGTACTTAACGTAACACTCTGTCCACCTGCACTTAACGTAACACCCTGTACACATCACCTTCCATGTAACATAACCTAACACCCTCATGTGCATTGCATCCTTTGCCGTGACGTCTCGAACAGTATCACTTTTTGGCGCCTTCATGTTTAGACAACATGACACGCACAAGGGTTGTCCCAACCAGGATGAGAAGGACTTATCGTCCCCTACATGGCAAACCGTGTTCTCAGAAAGGCGTTTCAGCTTACCAAGTAATTACATATTTATATTCACTGTTGCCAGTATATATATGCTAATTAATGAATGATGTTACGATGAGTGGTCAGTGATGTATTACGACCCGTGAAGATCCGGGGTAGAATAGGTCTTCAACAACCCATGCTTGCCGTAAAAGGCGACTATGCTTGTCGTAAGAGGCGGCTAACGGGATCGGGTGGTCAGACTCGCTGACTTGTCTGATGCATGTTATCGTATCCCAATTGCGTGGATTGATGCTCATGATATCAATCACTGGAGTCTGGGCCGGACTCAGTTATTTACAGACCGCCGTCATATAGCTGGAATAATGCTGAGTGCGGCCTCAAACAACAAAGAAATGATGTATTACACGTTGATCGGCTTGGAGTCAGTATACTGTGTCTGAGTGGGGTATTCATGCATGTTGTATCAGAGTGGCTAGTACTATAAGTACGGACTAGCACGCACGCACGCACGCACGCACGCACGCACGCACACACACACATGAATGAACTCTATAAGTGCAATAATCTTGGATGCCATTTCACCTCACCTCACGATAATGACGCGTGATAATGACGGCAAATGATTATTTGTAGAAGTAAAATACTCAACTCAGCGATCCTGTGACGCCTTTGTTGGTTATCGTCAGTATATTTGCACAAGACAGTGTGAACATAGAAACCAGCTGTAACGTTGAAATGCAACAACACGTGTTTCTGAAGGTAGACGGTGGCTGGGTAATAGACCCCACTTTAACGTATAGTACACATAGAATTATTACAAGAGTGTGTTGTACTAATTATACAAAAAGAGTGTGAAGAGTGTTGTATTTCACGAACAGTAATACACATATGGATGTCATAATTTATTTATTGTCTATAATTAATAAATAACTTAGAGCAGAAGCAGAAAGCAGCTATGGGGAAAACTCGACATGATGTCAACAGTGATACAGTAATTCGCCCCGGGCCGCTTCGTTCAATATCTTGACTAGACATGTCGTTTAAGTTCGCCCTAAATTTAAAATTTGAAACTCACGGTGCGCTTTCGGTTCCAAATTTAATTTAGCGCTGTTTAATGTACAAGTAACCTGGCTTTATATTGAAAACCAAATGCGTTTCTCCTAAAGAGACGATCGCCTCCGTGGTCTAGTGGTATAGCGTCCGCCCGGAGAGGGTCCAGGGTTCGATCCCCGGCCGCGTCATACCAAAAGACGTTTAAAGATGGTACTTGTTGTTACCCTCGGCATTAAGGGACTAAAACAAGGACTGTGTCTGAGTGGGGTATTCACGTTAAACTGCGGCATGGTATCTCAGTGAGGTAGCACTATAAATCGGCATCAGTCCGGACTAGTACAAGCAACCACACAAACACACACACGTACATGCAAGTCACCATATAAGTGCAATAATCTTGGACGCGACGTTAAACCCCATTTCACCTCATCTCACCTCCTAAAGAGACATTTTACGACGCGTTTCGCAATATTGAGACAAAACACAGCCTTTTTAATGACAAACAAGAGCTGTAATACATAAATTTCTCTGAAACACGAGTGGTAAACGAGATATGAAAATGATTTACTCTGTAATTAATGTCGTATAAACTATTTTAGTACAGGCATACTGATGAGACAATCATCATTCTCGAGGTATCTTATGCTGTTAGATCCTCGTTAAAACTTTCTGTGTTTTCTGATGTGAGGCGTTAATGAGCATTCCATGCCCGTGCATTAAAACATGGTTATTACTTATAAACTGCCGGGCAACAGGAAGTATACATTTGATAATTGTATTCGAACAAAAAAACACATTATTAGTAGGGCTGTGACGAGTCTAAATTTACTACCCGGATACCCACCTCCCTATTACCCGACCCTACCCGGGTACCCACTGTAGGTCTTAGGAGATGTCTCAATATGTCCGATAGGGAACATTTTTAGCATATCCCTGGCAAAACGTTTTTAGATACATGTATTAAACAATCTGGTCATTCATACACTGCAGTTGAATTACGTTATATCTTTATTCAACCATATGAACAATCGGAAGGAATAGGTGCACAGTCAGAAAGAAATGCGAACATTAGTGACTTGTAGTGTTAACATAGAGTTCTAGATATTTTTTTTGTCATTAAACAATATATCACGTGACTAATGGAGTTCTAGATAATATTTGTCATTAAACAATATATCACGAGTCCGGGTAGCCATGTAGGTAGCCATGTGGGTAGCCGGGTCCTACTCAGTACCCACCCGACCCGGGTACCCGAGTTACCCGTCCCAGCCCAAATTATTAGGCTGAAAACAGTCGCCGAAACACTGTAAACTTAAGGTCCACAGTGATACCCGTATCAAATACATCTCAAGCTAATACCATTTCTAGTTTATTTCATTTTAGCCAATCAAACATTGGTGTATACTTTCCTTTGCCCGGGAGTGTATTTCAAAGATTTGCTTTGCATTGTCCTAAACCCGAGAAGGTATAATCCAACAGTGAAGCCTCACAATAAATGCCACACCGGTATAACTCGTGAAATGAAGGATTAATCAAATCTGTAGTTTTGAGAGACACATGCTACCAGTATAAAACACTTTTCCTTCAGTCAGACCGTTGTCAATTCACAACAAAAATCACAACACCAATTTGCTTTAGACCAAGATACAGTATAGACATACATAAAGTATGGGTATGGTTGCAAGGCGTTACATTATTCCCTTGTTGATACCTAAGTCCATGGGACAGATCATGCCAGATGGAGGAGATACAGTCGTCTGCTCTGACGTTCACATGCCCAGGACTATTGCCAAGACAGCGCTTAGTATACACCGAACATACCACACAGTCTTCCGTCTCACCACAGCGTATCTGACATACGTCCAGTCCTGTAATGTGGAATCGTAACAGGTGGTTCACATCCACAGAAGCCTACGTCTGTATGACACAATTTTCCATTGTAGGGTAGGCCATTGGTTAATGTGTTCCCCAGTACATAAACCTGGTTCGAATCCTCATATGGCTGCTGAAATGTTAATGTTTTCTCCTTATTTACACTCCTTACACTAACATATACGAGCATTAACATATCCTGATAATTACTGAGAATGGCTATACTATAGTATAGAATGTATACTGGAGACGCGGTACTCGGCAGTGTTCAGTTGGTGTCATTTGCTGTGGCCTGCTGCGTCTGTTATAACAAACCTTCTGAGATAGTTGCAGGTTCTGAGGGAGTCCCACCACTGGGATACCTCACCATCCTCCTCTCCTACCTCCTCCAGCGCCATCTGGCGGGCACGCAACTGCTGAACCATCGGCACCGTCTTCATCCACTTCTCTGCCTTGTAGCGACATTTATCCAGTTCCGTCTTGCCTTCATCTATTTCCGGTTTACTTTCCTTGTCGCCATCCTGGCCAGGTTTCGCCAAAGAGGACTCTTTCTTCCCGATGGCAAATGTCTGATTCCTTTCTTTGTTTGCATTCTGCCATTGGCCCGGATCGGTGTATCTCAGCGTCAGGTCATGTGATGCCCGCACCACGAGCGAGGAACGTGCCTGGCCATGCTGCCCTCTTTGGTAGATCATGGCGGTCTTAATCAGCTTCTCGACTGGCTTCGTTTCGATGGAGTTAGCTTCAAGGCGCTTGATTTGGTCAATGTATTCAGCTGGATTTTCTTTCACGTGTCTTAAATACTCCGTCACAGCCTTATGTGCATTCTTATTGAAATCGTCCTCCATCTTCTTCCTAGCCAGTTTAGTTTTCGATGAAACATGTTTTGCCTTACCGTCGTTCGTAGCAGGGGAATTAGGCCTTGATCCATCACGAACCTCTCTATCCTGACCATCTTCACTTCGAGATATGACAATTTCAGGCAATAACTTTTCCATCTCTTCGCACTTCGAAATGACCGACGCTTTCCTTTCAGAGACAACACTGTCTCTTCTAACGTCCTTCAACTCTCTCTTATTCTGTTGTCTGACTTCTTTGACTTCTTGTTTCTTGGTAGAAGGGTCTGTATCATACCCAGCATCCTTCAGGGCCTTGTCGTGGCAGCTGAAGAAACTCCGTCGCGGGAGGAAGGCGCTGAGTTCTTCTTTACTGAACTTAAAGGGTGTGACCCAGTTGTTGCTTGACGCCCTCCTGGGGCAGGTGTACATTTCCGATTCCTTCAGAGATGGTCGTCTCCCTCTCCCACGTTCCTTGCCCGCCATGTTTCTTGCTGAATCTGATGAAGTCATTTCACCATCAAAACGCCTCTGCGTTGACAGTTCATGCTGGTGTTCCTGGACAGAAATATCACACTGCGATAGGTTACCGCTTGAGCCTCCAGTCAAGTTTGAGAAACTTTGATCCAGATTAATATATGTACCTAATCTATGCCTGATTATATTTCTTAGTTTCGCCTCAGTATCTACTTCTGAGAACTGGGGTATGTCCAAGTATGCTCCAAGTCGGCCATCAGTAGGTATAGCATTTCCACCAGCTATCGTATCCATCGTTAGGGCGACCTCAAAATCAATACCACACACAATACCAACTAATATAATCCCTAATGTTTCGACACACTATCAGTCTTGTCTTTGTAAACTCCTTTGTTGTTGGTATGTGTTCATCTGATAGGGAAGAATGTAGTTACTCCGTGTTCACATATCCTTTCACAATGTGGCGTGACCAACAAACAGCGCACATCGGTGTTCGCTGGCCCACATCAACCACTATTATACTACAGAGAGGTTTACCTTTCATCTCGTGCAATTACAACACAAGATCCGAAGAGGTACTCGGGAATCGTTGATAAGCATAAGTAAATAATTGAACAGGCCTATATGCCGCTTTTGGACTTGGTGGAACATCGAAATAATGTCCGGATTGCAATCCAAATGGTCAACTTATATCAGCACTCGAGCTTGACTTGAAGATTATGTACACAGACACAGGACACTTGAACATGCTGTTGGATTGCCGATCCAAAATTGCTTAATGGAATGTCCTTGAGTGAATAACGTTGTCAATAGGCCAGACTGTAATGTGATAAGCTGAATAGATTCGGCAATGCAGTGACTTCCTTCGCCAACAATATTGTGTCATATTTGTCCACAAAATCACGCGTTCCATGCACTATATCCCACAAGGCCTGGTTGTCATATTGTTTCACCATGATGTCTGCTCTGTTCCTCGTTTTGTATGATTGTGATTTCTGTGATCTGAGTCCAAGTTGCCTTTGTACGAGATGGTGCTCAGTAATCCATATATCCGATTGTGTAACGGTCAACTTTTACCCATCGAAACATTCACTCACAATTAAAACGATTTGCCTCTACCAAGTTGTGCCACATCTTGTAGACGGTGATTGTGGTGTAACCGTTTGCTTTACCAAAATGATCACACTCCTGTCGTACGTCTACTCCTGGCTTCACACGAGTGCCATCTTGTCCCACTCAACCACAGTGAACAGGTACCTACACCAGCCGAGCGTGTACAGGCTGAGATAGGAGCCGTGACTCCAGCTGAGGACAAGAGTTAAGTGGTCAGGGCAATAGCAGTGTTTACATTTCGTGTATTATCTATCCCGCGAGACTCATGAGCATATCTCACAATAATCTCTCAGTGATTTCAGGCGCACTGATTTACAGCCACAGTTGAGAGAGTTGTGAATGTACTTGGACCGTGTACAGTGTTTGGCGAGGGTCATTGAAAGTGATGAGGTCTTTATGATTGCTTGCACGCCATGCTGTGATCAAGGGTGTCGTTATGTGACCACCTTTACTTCTTCCATGACACAATACAATGTCTTGTGCTGCTACCGCACGGCCGGTGCAGATTAAGGATACAAAAAACTGCGGCTAGAGTTACCTCGTCTATTGCAGCTCCTTCGTACTAAACACTTACCTTGGAGACCAACACAATCTCCGGTCTGGTCACGATAATGAATGTTTTTTGCAACATCGTAACTAAGGTTTTATAAAAAAAATGTTGACAGATCGTAGAACTAGTGTTTAGGTCGTGATCTATCTGAAGCTTCAGCCGAAAATCAATGATCCTGACGCCATACTGTGAATGTAGAAGTCAAACAATATTGTGTGTGTTTTATGTTTACATGCTACTTAGAAAGCGGTAAATAATGTACATTTATCCGACAATTAACCTTACATATATTCCTCATGTCATGTTGTGATAGATTAATTCTAGTAATATGAAAGAATCGGGTGGACATTTACTTTTTTGAGTAGTATATTTGCAGTTAATTGAAACACAGTGGCACCTGTCTAAAATGAACTTGGGTGCAACGGACATTTAAGTTCGGTTTAGATTGCAGTCTGGATTAGACAGATTCACCCTACTCGCTTCATCACGATGTTTCACTAATATGTGTGTCAGGTTAAAGAGTGAGTGAGTATTATTTTACGCCGCTTTTAGTAAAATTCCAGCAATATCAGGGCGGGGGACACCAGAAGTGGTCTTCACACATTGTACACATGTGGGGAATCGAACCCGGCTCTACGGCGTGATGAGCGAATGCTTTAACCACTAGGCCACCCCACCGCGCCGTACGCCCCATAGAGCTCTATTCTCATAAACACAGCCTGAAAATACAAGGTTGGTGCACAGAAAGTACACTCATCTGTTGTGTGGGGCAGGGCTGTACCAGGGCTGGCGCACAGAGGGGCGGCAGCAACACAAGCACAGACCGTTGCCGTGTGCTGTATAGTAGTGGTTCTACTGATCAGAGAAATGTTTAACTCCATTAAACCCATTGCGATTTAGGAAAGCATAAATCGATGGAATCGATACAAGTTTGTTTACACGTCACATTAGATCTCGTTGACCCGGGGACCCTGCACTAACCATATACCCGTGAGACGCGAGGCGACCCTGGGGTGAGGTGTCCTCGTGTGTATATGTTGCCGGGAATAAGTATTATCGTAGAACGTTCAGGGAATACATGTTTTCGTAATGTCAGATTTACTCGGAAAATATACATAATCCCCAGCTTTGTCAGGTATTATACACATTCCCTGATCCAATACATTCTTTTTACATATTCCCTGAAATTATTTAATTTTACAATTTGTTTATGCCATTAGTTATATCAAAGATAGAAATGTAACCACTTGCTGTTTGATGAAGGGGCGCTCGGGTAGCCTAGTGGTTAAAGCGTTCGCTCGTCACGCCGAAGACCCGGGTTCGAGTCATGACATGGGTACATGTGTGAAGCCAATTTCTTGTGTCCCCCGCCGTGATATTGCTGGAATATTGCTAAAAATGGTGTAAAACCATACTCACTTTCTCACTGTTAGATGAAACTGTGAAAAGATTAGATATAGCAACAAATATAGCAATAATTATTCATTATAGTATATGTATCAATATAAAAATGCTAAGATAGTTTATTAAGAAAATATAGTAAAAACAACACATGCTTGTGTTTGAAGCCTAGTTTTCAGTGCAACAATATTAAATTAGAAATTTCAGACCACAGGTGAACATGTTTAAAGGCTAAGTGAGTACCCATTGTACCCATGTGGGGAATCGAACCCGGGTCTTTGGCGAACGCTTTAACCACTAGGCTACCCCACCGCTCCTTCAAGGCTGAGCTGTAGTGTTACTCTAGAAACAACTCAAGTCTGACATGTGGTAACAAAAACCAAAAGGGTCAACGTCTTAATTAGGTTATTATAGTGCGAGGTTATCTGTTTATTTTAAATGAAAGCACCTGGGCTCCGCTCCACAAAATGACCTTAGCGCTTAGACGATCATACTCCCCTACTTAAACATAGAGTTGCGACAGTCTTAGCGCTAAGATTGCTTTGTGGATCGGATCCCTGTGTCTTACTGCAAGAGTTGCATAATCAGTCAGTCGTTACTGATGTGTGCCAGTTATGTTTGTTATCGTATGTCAAATAAAACTGCATTCACATGAAACAACACATGAACTATTTCGTTTGTCGTGTTTAAAAATAGAGAATCCTAAAACTAGTTTCAGGGAATAAATGTATGTCTACAACAAATGTTTGTTCGATCAGGGAATGTGTATAATACCTGAAAATTTAGGGATTACGTGTATTCCCAAGACATGACATTCAAACACAAACACACACGCACGCACCCCCCCCCCCCCCCCCCCCCCCCCACACACACACACACGAACACAAACATATATCTCTCTCTATATATATATGTATTTATATATGTATATGTATTTATATATGTATGTGTGGGATTTTCTTTCGAGGTTAGATATTTAATTAGCTGCAAAAACTTTAAAACTACGAGCCTGATTTTTTTAAAAAGAAAAAACCCTCCTTGTAACAATGTCTATTTTTGTGGCAGGCAATTACTTTTTTTAACAGTCTGGAGTATAATTATATTTTGAAGAATTTTCGGGGACAATTTCTCTTTTTCGATACAATCCCAGAATCTCAAATGGTCGGTCCTCTAGACGATTGGGCCACCCGTGTCTTCGTACCTGTTATGACTGTGCATCCACCTACTGTAAACCTGAGGTGTATTTCACCAATAAAACTTGGGCTCACCGTTTATACTTGTCAGGGTGTAGGTGAAGTTCGGTAAAGCATGTCAGACAGTTTTGATTAAAATGTGTACTGCATTCAATATCCTTTATAGACCGCCTCCGTGGTCCAGTAGCGGAAGGTCCGGGGTTTGATCCCCGTCCGCGTCATACCAAAAGACGTTAAAAGATGGTACTTGTTGTAACCCTGTCTGGCGCTCGGCATTAAGGGGCAAAAACAAGTACTGGTCGGCTCGGAGTCATTATACTGTGTCTGAGAGGGTTTTTTATGTTAAACTGCGGCATGGTATCTCAGTGTGCTAGCATCGGCATCAGTCCGGACTAGTACAAGCAGCCACACAAATACACACACGTACATGCACGTCGCTATATAAGTGCAGTAATCTTGGATTTCACCTCACCTCACCTCAATATCCTTTATCAGCATAAACACAAACACAGCATGGGGTCTCCGGGTTAGAGTATGTCCCCAGCGCCCTTTCCTTGTAGCATACGGCAACTTGATTGGGTGGTCAGGCTCGGTGACTTAGTTGATAACGTGTCATCGTACCAAGATGGATGGGACGTTATCACTTGTGTATCTGGTCAAGGCCGCCGTCATATTCAAGCTGAATTGTATTGCGGATTGCGGCGTTAAACATCAATAAAGAATCAAAATAAACAATATTTGCAACTCACTAAGGAAGAAGCGTTGTAATTTATCAAGGCAATTCTTATATGCTGACACTTTTCGCGAACATATCGTGTCATCACTGAATTTCAGTGATCCATTCATATAATTTGCAACGATATTTGCCTTTTACGCCCTTTGGATTCTGTTTCGGCGGATAACCGAGGCTGTGTGTTCTCTGGTGTTGACGTTTTATATTTAGTAACTGAAATCTAAAACATATTAGCATATTATCCATCATACAACATTCTATATGGACGTTCCAACTCACTCACTCACTCATTATATCTGCTTGATATTTTGACGGAATACCAAATCCCCATAATTGATGTTACATTTGATCCATAAAATATTTAATGGCGTTTCTATCATAAACTTTGAGTTTGAATATATAAGCATTACTTACGACAATAGGTTCACGGTAGAGACAAATACTATAACACACTGAACTTTAAGGATCGTCGTGAAACTCCTGGGTAACCACAAACCCCATTGTACTACCATTCCATGTTCGTGTGTTCTGTATTCAATATATACATCATCATGTTTACTCTACAGCTTTAGGGGAAATATAGATCATCTGTCTGTCAGTCGTTTGAAGTGTAAGACGCCATAGGTGACTCCACATGGTATTTGTCAGTAGAACAAGGCGAATAGGTCGCGAGGGTAGGTATGATCTGGTATCAAGTTTCGGCCGAAGCTTCTTTTTATGATTAATATTCCCCGCCACGAAGTGCAGCGGGGAATATAGAAACGGCATTCGTCCGTCCGCCCGCTTCTCAAAAGGGATAAATGCTCTCAAAAACTATTTCAGGAAGAGTAATGAAATTTTACACACTGATATTACTGGTCATGATCTTAAATGAGTTCGAAAATTGGCGTTTTAAATTCATTTTTTACAGAGTTATGGCCCTTGCTCCGTGCTTTTCAACTTGGTGCATAGTGTCTGCAATATGGGGACAAGTTACATGTATGAAACTTTGCAAGCTTATCTGAGAGATACTTATCAAGACCGAGTTCGAGAATTGGTGCCATAAATTATTTTGTCCAGAGAAGTGGTTTTGTGTGTATTAATTTCACATTTAATATTTTTTCTGTTTTCATAAAGTGACCCTGGTGCCTATCTCTTCTTTAGGCTTTATAGGACTCTTTTTTTATAATTTATATTCTCTACTATATGAATAAACATATGTGTTCCATTAACATGTGTTCCATGGCGGGGGTTAGTGATAACGCTGTTTTCTTGTTGAAATTAGAATGATTGCAATTATCTTCTAAAATGGAATCAACGTCGGAGATTTATTTGTAACATTAAAATAAACCTGGAAATTCCTGCTAGGTTTTAGAAATAAGGAATCTGGCATTCAATCCACCAAGAGCAAATCCATTCAACCCACCTCTCCCTCCTTCACATTTCTCAATACACTCAAGATCACTGTCAGTGGGTACATGAGTTCCCAGCGAACTAGGTGTAACTCCTTCCACCGCTCACACAACCAGCACAAATCCCAGGGCTATTGCAGATCAGACAAGTGGTCGATGAGATTAACTCAGCCCATGGTGGCGATAAGATTATGTGACCATATTAAACTAAGTGGGGCGACTGCTGGGAGATTTCCGTCATGTTTAAGGGAATGCTAATTTATTAAATAGGAGTGAGTGAGTGAGTGAGTATGGTTTTACGCCGCTTTTAGCAATATTCCAGCAATATCACGGCGGGGGACACCAGAAATGGGCTTCGCACATTGTACCCATGTCGGGAATCGAACCCGGGTCTTCGGCGTGACGAGCGAACGCTTTAACCACTAGGCTACCCGACCGCCCCCTATTAAATAGGACTGGATCGGAGTCGGGGATAGGGGATCGGGAATGGGGGTTCGGGGATAGGGGATCGGGGATGGAGATGGGGATGGGGATGGGGATGGGGATGGAAGATAATAGCAGTCCGACAAAATAACCCGAAAACTATTTTCCATACACTATGGCGATGTCATCGACAGGCTACGCGTAACAATAGTTCCGTCATTGATATGCCTTATATGCCATACACATTAATCACAGATATAATGACGCAGATAATTCCCTTCTCGTGAAACATTATGTTTTATTACATAAAACGTGAAATCTTTAAAGAAGCAACAAAATAAACTTTGTGCAACAAAATTGGCGATATCTGGGTCATACTTGACACGACACATCCCTGATACATCTAAAACCACAGGTTGGTATCATATATGCATGTACTTATCAGTAGTCACTATTTGATTGAATTACTCCTTGTATAGTGTTCTTTCAGTGCAAGCCAATTGCAGGACGAAACCATTCCTTCAACACTGGCACACCGCACTCTTTCAATGATGCCGTCAGCCTAACGTTACGCATGCGCCCGTCCCTGACAAGACTCTCGCGAGACCATTTCTTTTAACGGCAGCAAACGTGATTCTCTGCCTCCACCTCAAGAGTTGGCGTTCGCGTTCTTTGTCCTCCTCCTTAGAGAGCCTCACCAGCTGCGCGGCGTCACGTGCCGTCACGACGCGTGGGGTCTCGTTCTCTGATTGGTCAGATACCAAGTTATCATCGTCTTTGGCACTGGTGTCAATGTACATGTTCCTCGGCGTAGCGTCACAACTCTGTCGGTTCTTGTCAATGTACATGTTCCTCGGCGTAGCGTCATAACTCCTGTTCCTGTTTATCGTGCTTAAAAACGATTCCTTATACTTTCTCATGTCTTGACCATCCTGGGACATGGTACATGCAGAGGAATTCCGCCTCTTTCTTGCTTCCACTTTGACGAGCCTGACGCCATCATGCTCAGGTACATCATCTTTGTCGTCTGCTAGATCCGCGTCCAGAGCAGACCTTCCAGCGGCACCATATATGCCACCGTTTCTATCCTGTGCACTCGTCACTTCTACCTTGCACAGTCTCGCTCGTCTGTCTGCCGCTTTACCCATGATTTCACCAACTGTTATACGTTTGGAAGGAAGGCCCAGCAGCGACTTTTGGATTGCAACCAAGTTATTGATCTTCAGATCAGAAGCAAGTGTCGGGGACTTGAAGTTCGTCTTCTGTCTCACGAGCGCTTGTCTTTCTTTGTAATCCATAGACCGCCTGGCTTCTCTGTTCGCTCCTGAAACAACAGGGGTGCTACCCATCGCAGCATGCTTCAGCACAAACTTCCCCTCTTTGTGTTGCAGTTTGATGTTCACCTCTCCAGCGAGAAGTTTAGAGAATGCAATTGCATGCATTCTAAGCTTCCGCTCTCGTGTATGCTGGGTATTCTGGTCCATGACCCCGTCGTAAGGGTCAGACGCCACCGAGTGGTGGACGGAGGAACGTCGGCGTGGGTGGGATAACCGTCTCTTGATGTTGACTTCTTTGGGGTAGTCTGCAACAGTGGACGGCCTGTTGGGAGGGTGGGGTACAATGACTGGTTGCCTTTTGGCGCACATTCCTGCTGTCTGAGGCCTGTTACTTCTGGTCACGAAACCACCTTTTCTCGACCCCCGGTGGGTAAAGATGGCACTCAGTGTGTCTTCCAGGAGGTCCTCCTTCTCAGCATCTTGCCCAATACGACTTCCAGTCGTCTTCTGACTCTGCAACTTTTTTAGCTGCTGTTTAATTACCTCTTCCTCTTGGAAATAGTCGCCCATAGTTACAATGAATTCTTTGTATATCCTTCCACATTCAGTCTTATACTGTTTCTGATTGGCAGCAGACGACACAAGGCCACCATCGGGAACAGTTATGTCGAGTCCGAAGTCCCGAGCGTCGTATGACGGCTCAAATGTTGGTAACTTCACCTCCCCCATCATGGCAGCAAATACACAACTAGCTAGGATGTGATGTCAATATATTTTCCTCTTCCATAACGAACAGGTATCAAACGAGAGCATATTTCAAATTAGATTACCTCGTTTTTAAAGCGTGATCCCTCGTCAGTGTCCTGAATCCAAAGGAGACAAGAACTACCAATTTCTAACATCCAGATCCAACACTTCATCAGTCTCCAGCCTCAGAAACAACGAGTCGCACCACCTTTATACACTTAACGCTGTTTTCATAGAATGTCATCAAGGTTGAAACAGCAGACCCAATACTCAAGTTCTTCACCAATCAGTATCATGTGGCTGGATCTGCCGATCTTGATTTTTCTAACTTCGGTTCATGTCGACTCCTTCACAACGCCCGCCAAATCCAGCTGTTCACCTGTTCCTTGTCAGCAAGTGTCTGACCATGGTCCACAATAGTGCACCTACTCCATACCATATCCTACCATTGTTCTTGTAAGCGGATTATCAGCTGAAAGGCGATTACAGCCAAAAAGGAGTAGCTAATCCAATGGTGAGATTTCCCTGTTTCTTCAAATCTGTAGAATATATCTGAGGTTCACTTGACCATTGATTGTTGCAGCATTATAGACGTCACCGCGAAGGGTTAAAAGCCTTGTTTGTGAGGTTTCTTAGATAACCATTTACAAGTCAGGGTCAATCTGACCACAGTCCAAAACAAAGATTAAATGCCAGCCCGTTTGCGTTTGCTTCTAAAAACATGTTGATGTTTGTTATGGTTAACTTGCACAACATGCACCTGGACATGTATGTGTTAGTACCATTGTCCTTTTAGTCTAATTACTAAATATCAAAGACTGTTTCATAAAATATAGGAGTTTTTGCAGAATTTAAAATATATATAACGATGTATCAAGGCAGCCACTATAAATACGTTTAAGGGAATTACATGATAAGTGAGTGAGTTAGGTTTAACGGCGCTTTGAACAGTATATAAGTTCTATCTGGCGTCAAGCTACTGATGGAGAACAATTCGAAGGGATGCAGGTCCTTACCACTTCGGTAAAATCCACGAGGACGAGTTATGATGCTGAAACACCGAGTTATGTAATCAGGGCTAAAAGGGCTCATAGGTTTCCGGCACTCTAAGTGGGATTTTTTCGTCTTGTTTCGCATCGGGCCTTTAACAGTCTTCTAAACACACATTATAATAAAAGGCAGTATTGTTGCATGCATATAACTAGATGCAACTGTATATGTGTGGGTTATAGTCAGGTGTATGAAGTGTCAAAACCATGTCAGTTTGTCCTCTTAGTGTTCTCCTCGCGAACACCTGGTGCTATGACTTTCATTGATCCATTCATATTCATAATAATTTTTATGCCCAATGGAATCTGTTCCGGCGGATAATCGAGGCTGACTATTGACGTTTAATAATTGCAGCATGTAAACTCGAGGCTAGTCTATCAAATGTTTTTTATTCAAAAAAATAAAAATAACAATGTTCCTATGTATGGAGCTATTAGATTAAACGCTTGAGTCGGAATTACAAAGCATTTGTAATTAAGAGTAACGGTCGGTCGACTTGGGGTTCGAGCGGTCATATGGATCAGGGTCCCGTTCCACAAATCAATCTTAGCCGTAAGTCGATCGTAACTTCCATTCTTTAACGTTGATTTATGACAGTTGTGGCGTTAAGGTCGCTTTGTGGAACCAGGGGTCATGTGGATCAGATTATACCATAGCCAGGTGTTGTTCATCCCACACTACCAGTACACAAAGCTTAACCCCCTTCCTTATCCACAAGAAATCTCCTCCAAAGGCAGACTGCAACATTCCGACTATACCAAGAACATGTGTTTATGAATCGCTATTAAATAGTGATGATACCAGGTGGTCGCGAAAAAGGTGAGCGTATCCTGCCCCACCGGGTGGACCGTCAAAAACACATGCACAGGCAAGTCAATTGTTCATGGGAACAACATCTAGTCCTGATTACCATGTACATTTTGCCTCCATTCAATAAAAATGAATGCCCCTTTGGCCATCATAACTTCATTATGAGCCTGATTCGTAAGACACGACGCTATAAATAGCGTCCAATCAGATGACTCTCAGGAGCGAGATAAATTATATGCTCAGTCAGTGATAATTGAAAAAGCGATGGCGACGTTATTTCCGAAAAGAACCGAAAGTGGGTATTTATCACAAACGAAATAAGATACAATACACGGGATAATGTGGACACCTTGGATGCACGCTGGCTGCTCAGCTGCTGACACCAAAAGTATACGATGTTGTCTGCCGGTATGTCTCCCCGGGACGTAGAACGCTGTTGGGGAAGCTTGGCTGAAACAGTGGGAGAGATGGTGGTGTTGATGTATGTCGTATATGTGTAATAAAATACATGCATATATACAGTGTATAATGCATGGTAACAACACCGGTTCTCTGTGATCGTTGTCATTGCCTCTTCTGTGTAGACTAAAGCCTTAATCACTCATCGACTTTACGGCCTATCACTTCAACAGTGCCCGTGCTGTTGCTGATTAATGCTCTGACCCATCTGGCTGTTGCTGTCAAACGCTGACCCACCTGATTGATGCTGTCAGGTGCTGACCCACCTGATTGATGCTGTCAGGTTAGTGCTGACCCACCTGATTGATGCTGTCAGGTGCTGACCCACCTGATTGATGCTGTCAGGGTAGTGCTGACCCACCTGATTGATGCTGTCAGGGTAGTGCTAACCCACCTGATTGATGCTGTCAGGTGCTGACCCACCTGATTGATGCTGTCAGGGTATTGCTGACCCACCTGATTGATGCTGTCAGGTTAGTGCTGACCCACCTGATTGATGCTGTCAGGTGCTGACCCACCTGATTGATGTTGTCAGGGTAGTGCTGACCTACCTGATTAATGCTGTCAGGTGCTGACCCACCTGATTGATGCTGTCAGGTGCTGACCCACCTGATTGATGCTGTCAGGGTAGTGCTGACCCACCTGATTGATGCTGTCAGGGTAGTGCTGACCCACCTGATTGATTCTGTCAGGGTAGTGCTGACCCACCTGGTTGATGCTGTCAGGGTAGTGCTGACCCACCTGATTGATGCTGTCAGGGTAGTGCTGACCCACCTGATTGATGCTGACAAGGTAGTGCTGACCCACATGATTGATGCCGTCAGGTAGTGCTGACCAACCTGATTAATGCTGTCAGGTAGTGCTGACCCACCTGATTGATTCTGTCAGGGTAGTGCTGACCCACCTGATTGATGCTGTCAGGGTAGTGCTGACCCACCTGATTGATGCTGTCAGATAGTGCTGACCAACCTGATTAATGCTGTCAGGTAGTGCTGACCCACCTGGTTGATGCTGTCAGGGTAGTGCTGACCCACCTGATTGATGCTGTCAGGGTAGTGCTGAGCCTCCAGACAGAATCCTCCGTACTGGGAGTAGTTGGCCCCTCCCTTCCCCGCGAGGTCCTGCAGATAGAAGCTGGTGTAGAACTGCACCCCTGGCTCTGTGGTGTAGCACTCCATCCACCGTCCACTGGGCGGGTGCTCCACTCTGTCGGCATAAAACATCTGGTTTATTGGTATCACTGCATGGCAGCTTCAATAAAACAAACACCTGTAGTGAACTGCACTGAAAATGTATTGTCCAACAGGTTACACATGGGTGGCATGTGTCTAAGGTCGAACTTAGGTCATTGTCATTCTAGTGGTTATACTAAAACAAGCCTTGGCTTGATTTCTGTTTCTGAAATTCATCAATGAAAGGAAGGCTTCATAGCGACGGAAAGATAAATAGACGATAGGTTTAACATATCCGAGTCGCATGGACGATACCAACATGATGTTGAATCATCCTGTTACCGTATTTACCCATTGAAAATATTTATCATTTCCATAGACCCCAACTTGCTGCAAGACGCCTTTCTCCAGACACGGACAGGTTGAAGTTGTGGTCAAATCCCTTTCCACCGGGCACCTGTCCAAGTCGGTCCCCAAGACGTACAGGGGACCTCAGGTCCCATTCCGTTCCCGCCACTCTCCGGATCTTGCCTGGAAAAGTCCATAGACTACAGTAAGACATGGTTATAAGTGGTAGAAGATCGTCAGTATATCGTCTCTTCCCATGTCAAACATTATATTACCACGAGCCGTCATCGCCCTGTGGGGGTTCCGTGTTGGATCTCGTCCCCAGCAACCTATGCTGAGGCGACAGATCGGATGGTCAGGTTCGCTGACTTGGTTGATTGCATCTCATCCTACCCCGACGGTGTTGATGGTTGCTCAAAATATCGTTCACTTGTCTGGTCCAGACTCGATTATTTACACTCCGCCGTCATTTAGCTGGACTATTGCAGGTTGCGGCGTTAAACAACAAACAAACAAACAGTCGTCATAGTGTTATCTACATGCACACAAAGATCAACACGCAACTTACCTGTTGGAATCGCGCGTTCATGAACAGGTAAAAAAGACTCGGCATTGATTTGTACAACGTGATCATGAATTTTCCCCGAGCCCTGAGAAAATAAATATACAATATGACCAACACGTGTGCCCTGGCTTAGGTGTACTGCTTGAACAAGGGGAATATGTTTGATCTTAAGAATATACCTATGCCCACCCAGTAGTAAATGGGTACCCGATGGTATGTTGAGGTAATATTATTATCAACTCTGAGGACCATGAGTGATGGTGTTGGGTTTAACACCGCTTTATCACAATGTTTCACTTATATCACGGTATGTCGGGTTAATGAGTGAGTGAGTATGGTTTTATACCGCTTTTAGCAATATTCCAGCAATATCACGACGGGGGACACCAGAAAAAGGCTTCACACATACATGTCGGGAATCGAACCCGGGCCTTCGTCGTGACCCCAGCGCCCGGGATCAGTAATATTTGATGAATAGGGAACGGGCAGCCCAAGCATCTAAGGCGCCGCAATTAGCTGTGCAGAGTTATATCCCTTGAGCGCGCCAAAAACCTATGATCGTGGGTTCGAATCCCGGTTCACCCGATTAAGTTTCTAGGTTTGTCAGCACCATACCTATGCTCGAGGGTTTTACCAAAGTGGTAAACGTCGGAGACCTGCATCACTTCCAGCTTTCCACTGGAATATTGTTCAAAGCGGCGTTAATTCCAACTCACTCATAAATCAATAAAGCAACAGTAAATGGCCACAAAAGAAGCAACGGTCCTTCTAATTTGTGCCAGAACAGTAATAACTACCACAAGCTGGTTTGTTAACATATAGAGCCTAATTCAAGCCTGCACTGGGTGGGTGGACAAGACACCGTGCGTCTAAGTGTTATATTGCGGGCTATTGAAGAGACACATTCAGTAGTGATGTTCCTCTTGCTAAACCTGTCAGTACGTGTAGTATAAGACAGGGGCGGTGGGGTAGTGATTAAAGCGTTCCCTCGTCACCCGTCACCATGATTTCCCACATGGGTACAATTTCTGTTGCCCATTTCTGGTGTCCCCCGCCGTGATATTGCTGGAATATTGCTGGAAGCGGCGAATAATCATCTCATTCACTCACTCACTCTGACAGGGGTGTCTGAAGTAGTGTATAAGTGAGTTGAGTTTGCATCTTTTCAGTCGGATCAGAACGTGTTAGTGGACAGAAGAACCGTTGATGGAGGTCGTAGGCTCAAACCAATTTGGTGAAACCCCTGAGGACAGGGCATATTGCTTATCTTGGATTCGATCCTAGGATAATTTATAAAAGACGCAAGTCCTCTCTACACAAGCCTTCTTTCCCATCTCATGTCTCCCCAGTTCGAAGTTACCATGGCAACTTACATGTCCTCCAAGGTTAAAGTAACCGTGGCTGCTGAAGTTGACAGGTGTTGCCTTAGTCGATGTTGCCGTGTAGTCGATGATCAGCTCATTCTCATCAGTCAGTTCGTATGTGACTGTCAGAGTTACCTCCCCTGGATAGTTCTCCTCACCGTCAGGGCTGACATATTTAAGGCTCAGTCTGTTGCCATCAACCTTAGCCTCCCAGAATCTCTAGAAGTTTTGCAACATGATGAATTAAACATACTGGCAGAGCATAAGACCCTGCATGCAACTACATTCTTCACAACGGTGACTCAGGCTATATGAGTCATTTTCAAAAGATGTCACTTTTTGAGTTTCCAAAATTACAAAATCCAATGGTTGATACAATATCTTTTTTTTGTTTAAATGGAGTAACAAATATCTGAAGCTGTCAGTAACATCAAATGGATGTCTTAATGATGCTTTTAAGAAAGAGGAATAACCAGTTACCATGGCAACTGAAACTTGGCTTGTCTTTCCCATAACAATGTTTGTGTGAATTATTTTGGTTTGAAATTCATGAAAATGCAAAAAGCACATACGAAACATATTTATTTCTTCATATTTTTGTATATTAAACTTGAAGTGAGGATGAAGGGCATTTATTTAGTCTCTTAATGACCAATATGTACTCAGTGTAAATTCTATGAAATACTGTTGCCCCTTCAACATAAATATTATGATTTCTAAATTTTCAAGATTCCTTGGAGGTTTTTTATTTGATAAACAAAGATAAACTGTGATCAACTTATGTCTCATTGCGGAAACTAAAGACATATTAAGATATATATATTTTTTAAATGAGTGCGTTATAGGAAAGACATGCATGTTACAGGATTGACTATATTTGTTACAGAAAAGACATTGCAAATTCATATCATCAGTATGAAAAGAGCGGTAAAGATTATCTTAAATGTTTCTCATGTATATAATAATGTTTGCAAAAGTAATACCAGTCATTATTTTTTTCAGTGATATTGATAAATTTATTCCAACTTTTTAAAGGATAAATTCTAAAATCTGTTACAGTAAGGACAAAAGTTTGTTACATGACAGAACAAATTACCATACAAAGACATTTTAGATCACAAAGCAGTTTCCGCATTTTACTGTAATAGAAAATGTGTTACTTTGAATAACAATGCACATGTTTGTGATATTTATATTTTTAAATAATTAATATGAAGAATGTTACCTATGACCTACATTATAACTGTTACAGGAAAGACCTAAGACGTTACAGTACTGACAATGTGAAACGAAGTTTTGGTCAGCCTAGTTTGTTCACTATCATAAGTTAACAAAGGTTTACCAAACAGGGGTACCACTAGATGTAGTTATAGTTATATTTCGATCTCATTGTGAAATCTCCAGATTGATGTGATAGAAGACAGTTATGGTGAAGACAACATTTTGTTACATTAAAGACATTTAGAGAATAGTTTTCATGTCTTTTTATGGTTTCTATGATCAACAATCAAATCCAAAGTTTTTGAGGTTGAGTATTAATTTTACTAATATTGTGAAACACTGAAAGTATCTGGTAAACGAATCGTGGTAAACTTGAAACAATGAAGACTTGGTCATCTTGTAGAATGAACAATTCAGAAAATGTCAGAAAACACATGACCTACAATTAGAACACAACTTTCAACTGCAAGTAAGAATCTAAACTACAACCTGGAATGCAACACTTGAAACATCAAGCCATCTAAGAAGAAAGTTGAAAGATTATAGCTGTCTTCCAAAGACATTATACCCCTTCATAGTGGCTTTTAACTGTAGACCAAATGTTATTGTCAACCTCACAATGAGATGATTCTGGAGTCTTCTGTAACTTTGGGATGATTGTCTCAATCACTAGCCCCCTCAGCTTCAGCCTTCACCATCTTTCCTTCACTAGCCTCTCATCTTCAGCCTTCACCTTCTCTCCATCACTAGCCTCTTCATCTTCAGCCTTCACCTTCTCTCTATCACTAGCCTCATCTTCAACCTACACTTTCTCTCCATCACTACCCCCCTCATTTTCAGCCTTCACCTTCTTTCCAGCACTAGCCTCATCTTCAGCCTACACTTTCTCTCCATCACTAGCCTCCTCATCTTCAGCCCTCACCTTATTTCCAGCACTATAGTTTCCTCATATTCAGCCTTCACCTTCTCTCCATCACAAGCCTCATCTTCAGACTTCACCTTCTCTCCATCACTAGCCTCATCTTCAGCCTTCACCTTCTCTCCATCACTAGCCTCCCCATCTTCAGCCTTCACCTTCTCTCTATCACAAGCCTCCCCATCTTTAGACTTCACCTTCTCTCCATCACTAGCCTCATCTTCAGCCTTCACCTTTTCTCCATCACTAGCCTCCTCATCTTCAGCCTTCACCTTCTCTCCATCACTAGCCTCCTCATCTTCAGCCTTCACCTTTTCTCCATCGCTAGCCTCCTCATCTTCAGCCTTCACCTTCTCTCCATCACTAGCCTCATCTTCAGCCTTCACCTTTTCTCCATCGCTAGCCTCCTCATCTTCAGCCTTCACCTTCTCTCCATCACTAGCCTCCTCATCTTCAGCCTTCACCTTCTCTCCTTCACTAGTCCCCTCATCTTCAGCCTTCACCTTCTCTCTATCACTAGCCTCTTCATCTTCACTCTTCGCTTTCTCTCCATCACTAGCCTCCTCATCTTCAGCCTTCACCTTCTCTCCTTCACTAGCCCCCTCATCTTCAGCCTTCATCTTCTCTCTATCACTAGCCTCTTCATCTTCACTCTTCGCTTTCTCTCCATCACTAGCCTCCTCATCTTCAGCCTTCACCTTCTTTCCATCACTAGCTTCATCTTTAGCCTTCACCTTCTCTCCTTCACTAGCCTCCTCATCTTCAGCCTTCACCTTCTCTCCTTCACTAGCCTCCTCATCTTCAGCCTTCACCTTCTCTCCTTCACTAGCCTCCTCATCTTCAGCCTTCAACTTCTCTCCATCACTAGCCTCCTCATCTTCAGCCTTCACCTTCTCTCCATCACTAGCCTCCTCATCTTCAGCCTTCAACTTCTCCCCATCACTAGCCTCTTCATCTTCCCTCTTCACTTTCTCTCTATCACTAGCCCCCTCATCTTCAGCCTTCACCTTCTCTCCTTCACTAGCCTCCTCATCTTCAGCCTTCACCTTCTCTCTATCACTAGCCCCCTCATCTTCAGCCTTCACCTTCTCTCCTTCACTAGCCCCCTCATCTTCAGCCTTCACCTTCTCTCTATCACTAGCCTCTTCATCTTCACTCTTCGCTTTCTCTCCATCACTAGCCTCCTCATCTTCAGCCTTCACCTTCTTTCCATCACTAGCCTTATCTTCAGCCTTCACCTTCTCTCCTTCACTAGCCTCCTCATCTTCAGCCTTCACCTCCTCTCCTTCACTAGCCTCCTCATCTTCAGCCTTCACCATCTTTCCATCACTAGCTCCCTCATCTTCAGCCTTCACCTTCTCTCTATCACTAGCCTCTTCATCTTCAGACTTCGCTTTCTCTCCATCACTAGCCTCTTCATCTTCACTCTTCACTTTCTCTCCATAACTAGCCCCCTCATCTTCAGCCTTCACCTTCTCTCCTTCACTAGCCTCCTCATCTTCAGCCTTCAACTTCTCTCCATCACTAGCCTCTTCATCTTCAGCCTTCACTTTCTCTCTATCTCTAACAGCATCTTCAGCTTTCACCTTGTCTCCTTCACTAACCACGTTTGGGGTAGATTGTGTATAGTGGTCTGTTCAAAACATTGGCCAAAGTGTGAATTTGCCAGATTCCCATAAAAGACTTGTCCCTCTTCACTTTGAGGGTTTTGAGTCGAAATATGCTTTGGACTATGTTGTCCCTGTGAGACAAGTTCCTGGAACATATATGTCAGAATACTGAGCATAATGACGTGGTAAGTTATGTCTCTTTACACTGACATCTTTCCTTTATGCCTTGAGACGGGAAATTTCCATCAAGATCTTTGGCTTCATATTGGCAACAAGTTCAGAGACTACTCTCATTGTTATTTCTGCTGCTCTGTCAATTGTCCCAAAAGCAAGTACACTGCCACATGATGGTGAGCAGTTACCATTTGATAACTAGTACAAGGATACGGCTCACCATTTGTCATTGCCATGGTTAATTTAGTTGTACAGCTCCACTCTGAAATTCCACTTTGGAGTTGCTTTGTATTCCAGTCAAGCACACATTGCTATTCAGTAAACCTTCATGAAATCAGCATTAGTGAATTTCAAATTATTTTGATGATGTTATGAAATCTATACATTATCATACTTGAGTGTTTGTCTTTGCCAACAAAGACCTTTTCAGAAAATAAAGAAGCGCGGAGAGTTGAATTTTAGTGCAGTGAAGAAATGTTTTCCTCCAAAACTCGTATTCTAAAACTTGTTTGACCTTTTAAAATAGAAAATACCCATAAGCTATTAGGTACTTCATGATCACTGCCATGATTATATATTAAATGTAAAGTTTGTCTTTTCTATAACCATGGTACCATATTAACTCCGAAATCATAAACACTTATTTTAGCAAGCTTAGGAACAAGTAACTAAAATCTCATTGATCCCTTTAGTACAATATATCATCAAACATAACAGAGAATAGTTACTTTGATTCTGATTGTCTTATGGAAATGTAGAATGTCATTACTGAAGCAAAACTGTCTTTGCCGTAACACATTTCTTATAACAATTAGGTGTTTCAATAATTTTGCATAAAATGATGAAGTGCAAGTTTATCCTACAAACTGCTTGATTGAAATAATTAATTAGAATATTGAAAAAGAACAGAGAGTAATTTACTTTGTTTCTTTATAACTTTTCAATTGCAAAATGTCATTACAATAACAAAATATGTCTTTACTGTAACACTTTTCTTATAAAAACAATATGTTCTGACAATGTTGCTCAAAATAATAAAATACAACTTTGTCTTTCAAACTGCTGAATTAAAATATTCAGTTGGAATGTTGAAAAAGAACAGAAAGTAATAGTTTTCTTACTTTATAGCTTATTAAGTGAAGAAAGTCATTACCATAACAAAATCTGTCTTAGCTGTAACAAAATTTAGTGTTACAGGAAAGACTGTTACAGGGAAGACAAATCATTAGATAAAAAATTATATTGACTAATTAATGGTCCCTTCATGAAGCTGAATGTTCACACAATTTTCTGTTCATGAATTGGCACATAAACTTGGAACTTGAAATAACTATTTTGCATCTGTTCCATTGAATCATAGCGTTATGGGAAAGACATGAAATGAAAATACTCATCAGTTCCTTACCTTTTTGGTTAACTTTTGGTGCTTATTTTTCTCCTGGTGCACATCAGTTAGATTGAAATTACACACTGAAATTCCTAAATGAATCTAGTTTTTATAAGATAACCACAGTAGTATTAGATATATGCCAATATTTATAAAATGACAGTTTCTCAAATTTGAATCTAAATGCACTGGGACAGCCAAAAATTAACTTTCTACCCATTTAAAACGCATCAAAAACACATAATATGACACAATGATTGAAAATAACCGTTTTACTAGATGCATTACTTTGCAGGTGATAATCTGAACGAATTGCAATATATATTTTTTTAAATTTTGTAATGGGTTCGGACAGAAATAGTGACATCTTTTGAAAATGACTCATATATGACAGAGAGGCAGCTAGCGCTTCCTTGGTGCCAGAAGAAAATTTAAAGTGACACATGTTACATTCGTTTAACACCTGACATATTTTGCTATCGGTAATAAGGACATGCGACTAGTGTTTCCAGGCAGCAAGGAGACAGTAAATTGAGACGTATTTTATCATTAAATGTCTTCCTAGAATCTCCAGAACATGGATTGATATTGTGAAACTATGACGAACGTTTGCTAAGAGATGGATGAACACCGTCAGAGAATAGGTGCCGTTTACCTCGGTTTTTTAAACGTCAGCTCAGGTACCTAACAGTTGGGGGAACCTGAAGCACAGGACAATGCCATTAATATTCTGAAGTAACAAATTCGAGGCGTCGTCTGAGAGGTTTCTATATATTAATATTAGTTACATGGTCGTTGCTGAAACCTGCGATCTAGGATATGTTGCGTCCAAGTAAGCATCATAATCGAGGCCTAGCACCGACCTTGCCAAATCCTCTCTTTCCTCCATGCAGACTGTTGGGTCCATCGTTGACAACCAAAGAGTAGGAGGTGCCTTCGAGACTGAACTGTCCACCGGCGATCCTGTTGGCGACTCGACCAATCAGAGCACCAATGTACCCACTCGCAGCATAGCCTTAAGTCATGAAGAAAGTACATTCGGGAGAATATGTTTTATGTATAGTTTTACCTCAGGTTTTGGTTTCCAATCAGTAAAATCATTGCCGATGTTCCAAATGCTGGGATAATACTGTATGGCAAAAAGTAATACTGAATGGCGAAAAGGGAGTATGTTTTGATAAAAATTCATATCTTCAGTAGAAATATGTCTGTAGTCTTGGCCACATCTCACTTGAATCTTATACCATTTTAATCATCTGATCCTATACTCAGTTACTTAAACATCTGACCGTCTCCGTGGTCTAGAGGTAGAGCGTCGACCTGGAGAGCGGAAGGTCGGGGGTTCGACCCCCGGCCGCGTCTTACCAAAAGACGTTAAAACTTGGTACTCGATGTTACCCTGTCTAGCGTTAGGCATTGAGGGGCTAAAACAAGGACTGGTCGGCTTGGAGTCAGTATACTGTGTCTGAGTGGGATGTTCATTTTAAACTGTGGCATTATATCTCATTGGGCTAGCACTATAAATCGGCATCAGTCCGGACTAGTACAAGCAGCCACACACACGTGCATGCACGTCGCCATGTAAGTTCAAGAATCTTGCACGCTTCGTTAAACCCAATTTCACCTCACCTCACCGTAAACACTGACCCTTGAAGATCAGGGTTAGAACACATCTTCAGCAACCCATGCTTGTCTTAAGATGCGACAAATGGGGTCGGGTGGTCAGGCTCGATGACTTGGTTGATGTATGTCATTGCATCCAAATTGCTTTGATCGATGCTCATGATATCGGTCACTGGATTCTCTGATCCAGACTCGATTATTTATTGACACGAGTAGGGAATGGGTGCCGTACGTCTCAGTGATGAGTCGCGTCCATTAGGCTTGCAAGAAACCGTTACTCATGGCTTCAACTTCAGGGTCGCTCTGGTCTATTTATTGGTATGTTAGCACCATACCCATACTCGTGGGTATCACCAAAGTGGTGACAGTCTGCATTACTCCAAACTGGCATGCGGTTATATAAGTTAAATACTGTTCAAAGCGGCGTTTAACCACGAAACTCACTTGAAAATTTGCCGTTGCAAATTCACATCTGTACACAATATCGTTTCTTACAATATTTTTAACAGACCTTGACTGATCTAATGGTGTTTAATGTGTTTTAGTAACATTTGTTGTAGACACTTCTACAATGTGCAACGTGTCCTCGACAATTATGCAAAATGTGTTGCTATTTCGAGCCTACCTTCCATATCATCAAAGCCGAGGCTGACGTCCTCCATCTTGCCCTTTCTGTCCGGGACGATGATGTCAGTGATGATGCCGCCATAATCTAGGACTCTCACGATGACGTTGTTCTTGTTCTGGAACGTGTATCTGGAACAGTGAAACGTAGACTCTCCAAGCTCCATTGTAACATGCAGACCAAGCAGACCAAGCAGACCAAGAGGACCAGGCAGGCCAAGCAGACCAAAAGGACCAGGCAGACCAAGCAGACAAAGCAAACCAAGAAGGCTGAGCAGACTAAACAGACCAAGCAGGCCAAGCATACCAAACAGACCAAGCAGACCAAGAAGGCTAAGCAGACCAAGAAGGCCAAGAAGACCAAACAGACCAAGCAGACCAAGCAGGCCAAGAAGGCCAAACAGACCAAGATGGCCAAGCAGACCAAGCAGGCCAAGATGGCCAAGCAGACCAAGCAGGCCAAGCAGACCAAGAAGGCTAAGCAGACCAAGAAGGCCAAGAAGGCCAAGAAGGCCAAGAAGGCCAAACAGACCAAGCAGGCCAAGAAGGCCAAACAGACCAAGTAGACCAAGCAGGCCAAGCAGACCAAGAAGGCCAAGCAGACCAAGACGGACAAGCAGACCAAGATGGCCAAGCAGACCAAGTAGACCAAGCAGGCCAAGCAGACCAAGAAGGCCAAGCAGACCAAGACGGACAAGCAGACCAAGATGGCCAAGCAGACCAAGTAGACCAAGCAGGCCAAGCAGACCAAGAAGGTCAAGCAGACCAAGCAGACCAAGAAGGCCAAGCAGACCAAGACGGACAAGCAGACCAAGATGGCCAAGCAGACCAAGCAGGCCAAGCAGACCAAGAAGGCCAAGCAGACCAAGGCGGCCAAGCAGACCAAGATGGCCAAGCAGACCAACAAGGCCAAGCAGACCAAGGCGGCCAAGCAGAGCAAGCAGACCAAGAAGGCCAAGCAGACCAAGCAGAACATGCGCAAGCATGTCCACCTTGTTGTACGTTATTTAGCCGTGTTTGAAAATCACAACTTTGAACAACACAAAGCGGTGCATGTCAGTGATTATGGTTTTACGCCACTTTTGGAAATATTCCAGTTATATCTCGACATAGGACAAGAATAAATGGCTTCACACATGTGTCTTTGGTATGACGAGCGAAAGATCAAAGCAATCTGCACATTTAAACAGAGAAAACATGACCGGACATAACATATACTCTTAAAAAAAAGAAACGCAATACGGATATTTTTGGCCATAAAATCAAAATTAGCCAGTGCAGCAGCACTATGAACGGTACTGGAGCAGGGTTTTTTTCTGCGTCATGCCAAGATTAACAGAAGTGCAAAGAAACAATGTCATAGGCCGCTTGCAGGCAGGGAAATCCCGATCAGCTGTAGCCAGAGTTTTCAATGTAGTGCCAAGGGTTATGGGATCGGTTTCAACAGCATGAGTCAACACGTGATCGGCAAGGTCTGGACGACCAAGAGTAACCGACACCGCCCAAGATCGCTACATCCGACTGCGCCACCTTCGTGAAAGGACGACGACAGCCACCTCAACCGCATCCCAAATACCAGGACTGCGCAGAATCTCCGACCAGACTGTACAAAACCGTTTAAGAGCAGCAGGTCTACGAGCAAGACGTCCTGTTCGACGCGTCATATTGAGTCGACAACATCGTCAACAACGACTGCATTGGTGTCGTCAACACAGGATATTGTCTCCACTGCGATTGAGAGATGTCTGGTACAGCGACGAATCTAGATTTCTCATCCGTCGTGGGGAGGGGTCTACAGACGTCGGAGAGAACGTTACACTGGAAACTGCGTACAGGAAGTGGACAGGTTTGGTGGGGGTAGCTTTATGATGTTGGCGGTTATCTCTCATCATGGCAGGACAGGTTTGGTCCACAACCAGGGCAATCTTATGGCTCAACGATACATCAACGAAATTCTCCTCCCACACGACCTCCCAATTGCAGCCAACGGCAACGGTGTATTCCAGCAGGACAACGCTCGACCGCATACAGCACGGATCACAGGAGCCTCTCTACACAACAACAATGTTGATGTTCTCCCCTGGCCCTCCAAATCCCCGGATTTGAACCCGATAGAGAACCTGTGGGATGAATTGGTTAGACGGCTACGCCGACGTCAACTACAGCCCCATACGTTGCAACAGTTGGCTTTTGCGTTGCTGGCCGAGTGGGCTACCATTCCCTAGGATGTGATTCGCATACTCGTCTCTTCCATGGGCAGGAGATGTCAGGCCGCTATCGATTCCAACGGAGGACATACGCGTTATTGATGGTAGCTGACCTTCACCTTGGACTTTTCCTCTGTGCCGATAACTGAGATGACTACAATCACCAAGTGTTCTCTCCACAACATTTAGGCTCAATACCTTGTACGGTTCCTCGTATAAATGTATTTTCCCACCTCTCACAAATCTGGCTTTGCGGTTTTTTTAAGAGTATAAATGAGATGTTCCTTTCCAACTTTGCTGGACCATCCACAATCCACTCCCGTGGAGCACCAACACGTCCAATGTTATCCAGGCGAAGCGGCGGTCCCTTGACTAATGCTACTATTACTTATGAAGGACTAGTAGGGTTGAATTATAATTCTCAACTGAGAACAGTATGTGAATATCACAGAAAACATTCACATACATAATTAACATCTAGGTAAAGATTCCGACATTGACATAAGATAGATATCTAAAATGTTGCCTGTATGTATGGATATTTAACACGTGTTTTGTCTAGTTCCCGAGAATGCATAATATGAAGAACTTGTCCTTCCATTTATCAGAAACATTACGGTAAAGCCTTTCATTAACTAGATATATCATTCAATCGAAGCCTTATGGTTCCAGACAAATCCTTTTCGGATCATCAATTACGGTCACTCCGCATTTTCATAATCATAAGAAATCTTTACTGCACGATTCCGACTTTATTATAAGCATGTGTTTATGAATGATACCAGGTGTTCGGGAAAAGGTGGGCGTATTATGTCACCCGACACAAACACATGCAAAGGCAAGGAAAAACTAATGAGGATTGTTTGGTGACATTGCTTGACCTGGCCGACATTAAGCTGACAGCGACCACCCTTGTTTATGCTAACAACATGCTCGAAAATGTACACGCCACAATTATGCTTAACTATTGCAGATTGCGGCACAAAACAACAACCACATTTCACTCCGTAGTACCGCACAACTCGATACAAGTTCGATTGTTTCCAGGCATCCGCTCTACAAAGAGATGTCAGCAATACGACTGCCGTAAGTCTATGTAAAAAGTATAGCAGTTACTATTATCTCTGGAAACTGGGTTTCACTGTTCGCAGCGATAATTAACTATCTGGGTGTATCCTGGAGTGCCTGTCTGATAACCTAATCACGACCCCTTCCAACAGCCATAGTCTACCTACATAGACTTCAGACATCAGATGGTACATACGCACATCCCTGAACTAAACACTCCAGTCATGTCACCTTGTAACTTCCTCGTCTTCTGTAGTTTTACCAAATGAATCCTTCGAGATCGGCATGGTTGAGCTGTGAGACAGACTGACACACGCACTGGTCAGGACGTGAGGCAGTTATCTGCCCTTGTGACAGTAGGGCACATCTCAAAGCATTTTCGTCATATATAATGACAGGCTGTTCCTACCTGACGAATAACTATCAGTATCGAGCGTTATATAGCCGTCATATAGCAGGAATATTGCTGTGGGCGGCGCGTTAAACAACAAACAAACAAAACAAACAAACAAACAAACAAACAAACAGAACCTACTAAAGCAGTCAAACAAGATGATGGCGAATGTATCAGACCCATACTCTGCCGACTCAGTGACCCACTTTATCACCAGGTCCCACGGGTGAACGTTTTTGTGTCATCTGTACAAGATCATTCAATCTATAAACATCTTTCCGAGGCAAGGGCGTTAACTGATTATAAAAGTCCTGTTTCTACCCTCGAATTTGGCTGGAATTTGTGGACTCGATCGTAGCGACATCAGTGGCTAGTGTCCCTTCTTTGTCCCTCCTGTTGACCAATCAGATTCCATATCTCACTTGCATTTGCTTTAAACAAAATGGCGGCGCACAGTGAAGACGATCTGATCGTTAACCAAGATCTATATTGTAATAAAACTGGTCCTACCCCGCGAAGTGCATCAAATCACTTGAATACCTTCATTAAAAACATGAAAAGATTTGCAAAATCTGTCGACGCCCAGTTTGCGGAACACATGCTTTGCAAATCCTGCAGTCGACCGCAATCTGCATGTCTAGTTCGTTACGCGATATTGATTGGACTATGCACAGACTCGTTTGTCCAGCCAAAATGTAGCTCCGGAATTCCAGCCTAGTTCGGCAAGGGTGGAAACTGGACTTTTATAGTCAGTCAACACCCTTGCCTCAGGAAGATGATCTATACATGACATGTCTGAACACGTTCAATGGTTAAACACCTAAGTGGGTGAACTCCCACTTCTCTCCTGTTTCAAAGATATATTTACATGTTCTTTTTGGCCGTCTGCAGTGTTTACATGGATTTCAGTTGTCAGTATGTAAGACTAATCCTCTGTACTCAGGGTATTGCCAGAACACATCTGACATCGGTACAGGCACTGAGAAGAAGGCAACGGGCACCAAGAAGTAAAGAGCGTTACGTACGAGCTCCATGTCGCAGGGAAGGTTAAAACCTTCACTTCGTTATAGCAGGTCGTTGTAAACAACTATGAAGGTTAAGTCAGGAAAAAGCACCGAGAAAGGCACTTTTCAGAAGATCACTTCCCGACAGCTAGGCTCTTTCCTGGCAACATACCGATAGGTAAAATAAGAATTGGGGCACACCTCTGGCCATAAACACATTCCAGCAACATGTAAAAAAACAAACCAAACACCAAGAAAATTCAAAGTGTAATTATAAGAAAAACGCTTCAGTTGGAACTACAAAGTGTTCTTAACATTTATATCAACAAGTTGAATTAAGGCCCAGAGGTCACAAAGACCAAAGCACACCGTATTATTCAATTATGCTACACTCAAGTATAAACTAGCGGTGTGGGAAGACTGAATGTGATACGGCTTGGAAGACTCTAGTTTCCTCTCCTCAGTTGCTGACACCAAACGTATACGATGTCGTCTGCCGGTATATCTCCCCGGGACGTAGGACGCTGTTGGGGAAGCTTGGCTAAAACAGTTGGACACGTGATGGTGTTAATGTGTGTTTTATATGTGCACATATATAACGAGTTTAAAAAATATCCACACGACACGAATTGTTCTATACTGAAGATAAAACTGGAACATGTGTTAGAACAGTTCGTGTGGTGTGATTGAATTTCTCCATATACATACATGTATATCCCCTGGTAGTCCTGGATACCCAGGGTCATATCTGACCCACTACATTAAATGTGCTTGAGACCCAAGAAACAATCTGGCCTACCCCTTGATAGTGCTGGAGATGCATATACTATCTCTCATGTCTGATTGATGCTGTCAGGGTAGTGCTGACCCACCTGATTGATGCTGTCGGGGTAGTGCTGACCCACCTGATTGACGATGTCAGGCTAGAGCTGACCCACCTGATTGACGATGTCAGGGTAGAGCTGACCCACCTGGTTAATGTTGACCCACCTGATTGATGCTGTCAGGGTAGCACTGACCCACCTGATTGACGATGTCAGAGTAGTGCTGACCCACCTGATTGATGCTGTCAGGGTAGCGCTGACCCACCTGATTGAAGCTGTCGGGGTAGTGCTGACCCATCTGATTGAAGCTGTCGGGGTAGTGCTGACCCACCTGATTGATGCTGTCAGGTGCTGACCCACCTGATTGATGCTGTCAAGTGCTGACCCACCAGACTGATGCTGTCAGGGTAGTGCTTACCCACCTGATTGATACTGTCAGGGTAGTGCTGATCCACCTGATTGATGCTGACAAGGTAGTGCTGACGCACCTGATTGATGCTGTCAGGGTAGAGCTGACCCACCTGGTTAACGCTGTCAGGGTAGAGCTGACCCACCTGGTTAATGTTGACCCACCTGATTGATGCTGTCAGGGTAGCACTGGCCCACCTGATTGACGATGTCAGAGTAGTGCTGACCCACCTGATTGATGCTGTCAGGGTAGAGCTGACCCACCTGGTTAACGCTGTCAGGGTAGTCCTGACCCACATGATTGATGCTGTCAGGGTAGTGCTGACCCACCTGATTGATGCTGTAAGGTGCTGACCCACCTGATTGATGGAGTCAAGGTAGTGCTGACCCACCTGATTGATGCTGTCAGGGTAGTGCTGACCCACCTGATTGAAGCTGTCAGGGTAGTGCTGACCCACCTGATTGATGTTGACAACGTAGTGCTGACCCACCTGATTGATGCTGTCAGGGTAGTGCTGACCCACCTGATTGAAGCTGTCAGGGTAGTGCTGACCCACCTGATTGATGCTGACAACGTAGTGCTGACCCACCTGATTGATGCTGTCAGGGTAGTGCTGAGCCTCCAGACAGAATCCTCCAAATTGGGAGTAGTTTGCCCCTTCTTTCCCTTTCAGATCTTTAATGAAGAAACCGGTGTAGAACTGCACTCCTGGCTCCGTGGTGTGGCACTCCATCCACCTCCCACTCGGCGGGTGCTCCACTCTGCAATCAGCCACCATCTTTGTATATCAAAATGCTAGTTTCCAAAAAAAGGAACAACAACAAACACTCGTTAACTCGAAGTCATGTGGACCATCTAATGTTTCGAATAATCCAATTAGTTCGATCCACAATGAGTGCCAATAGTACATAGTCTGATACATTGAGTTCACACTTTGTCACTGTATTACTTTGTTCAGTCAAACTGAAATCTCATAAAAACGATAAATGTATTTCAGAAATGTGTGTAACCTGTATTACTTAAACCTAGAGATACTAGACAACAGATCACTACTGGGTTCACTGGTTTCTCCGATTCTTTGAAGGGTGATTTGGAAATGGTTGCTTCTTTGCCCTGCAGCTACGGACGGGCGAATGGTAAAACACAATTATGCCTGATTCCGAAAAAGGCGATACCAACAGTAGATTGAACAGGCCTAACAGGTATATATATCCACGCATTATCATTTCCTAATGGACGTTGCAAGGATCATACAACATGATGTGGAAATATCCTGTTAACGTATTTACCCATTGGAGCAGAAATGGTAAGATTCAAAAGTCCCCACCTTGCTGCAAGACGCCTTTCTCCAGACACGGACAGGTTGAAGTTGTGGTCGAAACCCTTTCCACCGGGCACCCCTCCAAGCCGGTCCCCAAGACGTACAGGGGACCTCAGGTCCCATTCTGTTCCCTCCACTCTCCGGATCTCACCTGGAAAAGTCCAGAGACTACAGTAAGACATGGTTATAAGTGGTAGAAGATCGTCAGTATATCGTCTCTACCTATGTCAAACATTATATAACCACACCGTGACCAATAGTTACAAATTTACCTGTTGGAATCGCGTTGTCATCCACAGGTAAGAAAGACTCTGCATTGAGTTGTACAACATGATCGTCAACCTTCCCTGAGCCCTGACAAATGAAAACATACAACATGACTGACACGTGTCCTCGGGAATTTCACGAACGTAAAGAACGTGAGAGTGAGCTTGATTTTACGCCGCTTTTAGCAATATTCCAGCAATGTCGTGGCGGGGGACATCAGAAATGGGCTTAACACATTGTACCCATGTCGGGAATCGAACCCGGGTCTTCGGCGTGACGAGCGAACGCTTTAACCACTAGGCTACCCGACCGCCCTAAGAACGTAAGAACACTCAGTGTAGCAAACATAAATACTTCAAATCTTCAACTGTTGATGTCTCCTAAAGCCTTATCCGTCAACTTGCTTTTGTCACGAAGAGCCATGAATAAGCAAAGTACCGTTGGAGGAACGACTTGCAGGTCCACATCTGTGTGACATACCATCTCCAAACTCATTAGCAATACGACAACGTTGACGTAAAAGGCACAACAGTGGAGAATAATATACGCAGGGATCAGCCAGGTGTTAGCGAATTAAGCCACACAATATAACTATAAGACCACAGTAACCCTAGGAATAATGTCATGCGTCACTGAGGACACGTCACAATGTGGTGGCACTGTTCGGTGCTCCAAGGACAAGGTTCACATTCGTGGTTACTCTTCGAATCCAGAAGCTACGAGACCCCCATAATCCCATCGGTGTCTGAAGTTTTTTCTTAGTACTTCGATATCAATATTCCAATCAACATATATGTACCGACATATTATTATTACAATGCTAACTGACATGTCCTGAATAGTTGAAACAACCATAGCAACTCACATGTCCTCCCAGATTGAAGTAAGCGTGGTTGGTGAAGTTGACAGGTGTTGCGTTGGTCGATGTTGCCGTGTAGTCGATGATCAGCTTATTCTCATCTGTCAGTTCGTATGTGACTGTCAGAGTTACCTCCCCTGGGTAGGTCTCCTCACCGTCAGGGCTGACATATTTAAGGCTCAGTCTGTTGCCATCAACCTTAGCCTCCCAGAATCTCTAGAAGTTTTGCAACATGATGAATTAAACATATTGGCAGAACATATGACTCTGCAAGTAACTACATTCTTCACATTGGGTTACTCAGACTATGATAATGAGGAAAATTTATAGTGACACATGTTACATTCGTTTACAACCTGACATATTCTGCTATCTGTATTTAGGACACACGACTAGTGTTTCCTGTCAGCAAAGAGACATCTTCCCGAGGCAAGAGAGTTAACTGACTTTTAAAGTCCAGTTTCCACCCTTGCCGAACTAGGCTCGAATTCCTGGGCTCGATCGTAGCACCACCAGTGGTCCTATGGACCAATCCGATTCCATCACTTGCATTTGTTTCAAACAAAATGGCAACGCCCGGTCAAGACGATCTAATCGATGATCAAGGTCTATATTGTGATAAAACGGGTCTTACATCGCGAAGTGCATCAAATCAAGCGAGGAAAGATGACCTCGGGAAGATGGCCAAGAGACAAACAGTAGATTGAGACGTATTTCTTTCACCACATTTCCAATTGAGAGATCGCTTAGCGAGGGAATGCTGTTCAGTACATCGTTGTGTAGCCTACACAGTCGTAGGCCTACAACTGACCTTGTCAAATCCTCTCTTTCCCCCATGTAGACTGTTGGGTCCGTTGTTGACAGCCAGAGAATAGGAGGTGCCTTCGAGACTGAACTGTCCACCTGCGATCCTGTTAGCGACTCGCCCAATCAGAGCACCCATATATCTGCCCCCAGCATAACCTTGTGTCATGTAAGAAATGAGGAACATGAGATGATCTAAGAATATGATGGGGATCTATTAATGTGAAAGTTTTTTTAATTATCGATATACTTATATTGTAAAAGAGAATATATACATACAATGTAATTGTTATGTATGTAGTCATCGACAATCAAGTAAAATATCCCCTACCCTCTGCCTACCTTCCATATCATCAAAGCCGAGGTTGACGTCCTCCATCTTGCCCTTTCTGTCCGGGACGATGATGTCAGTGATGATGCCGCCATAATCTAGGACTCTCACGATGACGTTGTTCTTGTTCTGGAACGTGTATCTAAAAAGACGTTTTTCTTTGCTAGTTACAGACGCCCATGAACGTTGAATACTGACATGTTCCTGTATGTCTGATACACTTCACCAGTACATCCAAGACAGGCCGGACAGTTAGGTGGCACCGGGGGAAGTGCCACTGGGCGCCATGCAGACCTAGTAGGTTTCGGATTGTTATACTCTGTGATCAAGGCAACAATTAAATAACCAAACCTAGGCGAGACACACCAGTGGTTGATAGCATGAGGTGAGGTGAGGTGAAATTGTGTTTAACGTCGCGTCCAAGATTATTGCACTTATATAGCGACGTGCATGCACGTGTATGTGTGTGTGTGCCTGCTTGTACTAGTCCGGACTGATGCCGATTTATAGTGCAAGCTCACTGAGATACCATGCCGCAGTTTAACATGAATACCCCACTCAGACACAGTATACTGACTCCGAGCCGACCAGTCCTTGTTTTAGCCCCTTAATGTCGAGCGCCAGACAGGGTAACAACGAGTACCATCTTTTAACGTCTTTTGGTATGACGCGGCCGGGGATCGAACCCCGGACCTTCCGCTCTCCCACTAGACCACGGAGGCGGTATATTACTAAAGAGTCATATACAATGTACCCATATAATCATTTTTTTCAAATAATGTTTTGTAAAATAAAGGGTGATCGGAGTTTGGACCATACACTGTGGTGAGCTTAAACTTTATACCGTCAACCGTAATGTAAAAAATATTGTAATTAGCATTATCGTCAATACAAGTCTTGTGTATCTTATATTCAAGATTGCTACACGTCGGGCATTTGACTTGTACGGTGCAATGACACTATCAAGACCCCATTCATTTTTCATAAGAATTTCATTATCTTTGGAAATATGAACATCTTGCAAACAAATGATAGAGAATTTCTTTTTTCTATATACATTCATGACTTCTTTTCGTTTGGTCTTTGCGGCTAGGCCTTTACAATTAGCGGAAACTATATGTATTTCATCATTTACTCCCATGTATTATCAATCCATCTTTCTCTTGAAATAAAGTTATGTACCAACTGGAATGATTTTTTTGTTTTGCATAACGATAGAAGAGGATGAAAAGAATAAAAACAAAGAAATATCTCTTGTTGCCATGAACTGTGGGTTTTGAGATGGAGAAGGCAACTACCTTCCCATGGATAGGCAGGATAGTCACAATAAATTACAGCCACATGAGTAATTTTATGTTCTGTACTCTCAGAGAATAAGCTCAGATGTTTGCAGTGTGGGGATGACCACTGTCATGCTGTAAAACGACGCCTGGAGCTTGCACAGCCGGGACAAAATGAGGCCGTAAAATCTCATAACGATGACGCACACTTGTTGCGTTGCCCTGAATTTTTAAACAATATCTGCTCTTCGCCCAAAAGAGTGAGTGCTGACAAAGTTAGAAACATGATCAGGGTGAACCGGGATTCGAACCCACAATCATAGATTTCTGACGTGCCCAAAGGACGCAACACTGCACAGCGAATCGCGGCGCCTTAGACGACTGGGCCACCCGTGCCCCCCTCGCCCAAAAGAGATGTCTTTCCACACCATGACACTTCCTCCGCCGAATCTGTCGACTTCTTGTACGCAACATCCGGTATAACGCTCATTCCCTCGCCCATACCCACGGATCTGCCCATGTCTCCTTTGAAGCAGAAAAACGGATTCGTCACTAAACCAAACGCTAGACCGACGTTGGGTAAGTTGAAGTTGATCACGTTGACGTGAAAGAGCACAAACGTCGGAGAGCACAAACGTCGGACCGTCTTTCTCGGATTCCGGCAGCTTGTAATCATTTACGGACTGTCTGTGCAATTACGGGTCGTTTAAGCGAGTGTACTGTGTCGAAGATGTAGGACCCGGAAGTCCCGACCCTGGGCTGCTGGGTTGATGCAGGGTCTTCCTCATCTTATGCGACTTATGTCACCGATATCGTACGCAAAGGCGGGAAATTGGGCAACGTTGAAATGCCTTACTAAATTCTCGTAATATTATTATTATCAGTATTATTAGTGCCATTTGTAGAACTGAGGCATTGTCTCCGTGCAATTAGTGCCATGTGTGGAACTGAGACGTTGTCTCTGCGTAATTAGTGCCATTTGTAGAACTAAGGCATTGTCTCCGTGTATTTAGTGCCATTTGTAGAACCGAGGCATTGTCTCCGTGTAATAAGTGCCATTTGTCGAATCGAGGCATTGTCTCTGTGTAATTAGCGCCATTTGTGGAACTGATGCATTGTCTCTGTGTAATTAGTGCCATTTGTAGAAGTAAGGCATTGTTTCCGTGTATTTAGTGCCATTTGTAGAACCGAGGCATTGTCTCTGTGTAATTAGCGCCATTTGTGGAACTGATGCATTGTCTCTGCGTAATTAGTGCCATTTGTAGAACTAAGGCATTGTCTCCGTGAATTTAGTGCCATTTGTAGAACCGAGGCATTGTCTCTGTGTAATTCGTGCCATTTGTAGAACCGAGGCATTGTCTCCGTGTAAATCGTGCCATTTGTAGAACCGGGGCATTGTCTCCGTGTAATAAGTGCCATTTGTTGAATCGAGGCATTGTCTCTGTGTAATTAGCGCAATTTGTGGAACTGATGCATTGTCTCTGTGTAATTAGTGCCATTTGTAGAAGTAAGGCATTGTTTCCGTGTAATTAGTGCCATTTGAAAAACTGAGGCATTATCTGTATGTAGCTAGTGCCATTTGTAGAACTGAAGCACTGTCTCCGTGTAATTAGTGCCATGTGTGGACCTGAGGCATTATCTCTGTGTAATTAGTCCGATTTTAAGAACCGAGGCATTGTCTCTGTGTAATTAGGAGGATCATACCTGTAGATTGACACACATAATGACATACAAGTTGACAAGAAGTGTTTGAATGACTTATACTTTCTTGAACTTCTCTTGGGTTCATACAGATTCTGTCATTAAAATGACACGAAGACTGACATTCAAGCAGCTGTGCTGTGACAAAAGCAGAGGCAACATGTTCTTTCCTTCCTACAGTTTAATACATTGGTACTGTGAACACTAAACTGCTGTCACATGTCTTGGATCTTTACACATTAGTGCCATCCTAGATAATCTCTCAATAAAACTTAGATTTCTCTTGCAAAATATAACAATTGCACTTGGTGCCAAGAATACTTCAGAAACTTAACAATGAGTGGTATATACCTGTGAATATCTATTTACAGTCATGGAACGCCTCATCTCATAAAACCGATCATCAACGCCAGACAGGGTTACAACTTCCCTGAAGCCTCCTAGCCCGGGTCTAGGACAAATTCCAAAATTTCTCCATTATTATAACATTACATCTTTTTATCTTTACCCAGGCTAGTAAAGACTTTCAGTTCAGTCCTAAACCTGACAAGAACAAGGTAGTCGACACATTCAGCTCAGTGTATTTCAGTTTTTTTCATTACCATTCACGCTGATTAACTTGTATTGATTTATTAATTCATTATGAAGAGGGTAATTGTGCCTGTCAGACTGGGGTTGTAAGCTATGCTGTATAGAGTTGCCTCCCTTAGCTGGTCCTTAGCATGCTTTTCTGGTCATGGGCGAATGACCTGAGCGACTTGCTATCTGTAGAGCCCCCCCACAAGTTACAATATAAGACTGAGTGCGACATTCAGCAACGTGACAGCCATATCACTCACAAAATTACTGAATATGGACCTGTCAAGCAAGTAGCTGGAAACATGAGCAATAATCTTTACAATCAGGAATACAATAAGTCAACACCCAGTGATCGAGTCAAACCACCCAATATGAGAGACATACTGTTCAAAGTGTTGTCAAAATCAATTCTCAATGATGCCATTCAATCAAACTCAGAATATACCAAAATAACCTCAGACATACAAAGACTGTGGAGCAAGATATTGGCTTTAACAAAATGTAATCCTTCAACTGTGCTAAATGCAAGCTTGTTCTAAGTGTTCCTATATAACCATAAAATATTTGACAGCACCTTGGAACAGGAATTGTAGCATCTTCTCAAGGCAAGGGAGTTAACTGACTGTAAAAGTGGAAACGGGACATTTCTAGTCCGTTAACTCCCTTGCCTCAGGAAGATGGACTTGCAGCCACAGCACAGTACAGGAATCCAGGTCATGGCCAAGCTCGGGTTGCAAGGAAGATAGAATTGGTTGGGTGAATAGTATACATAAATAGTTAATGTGAGTTCTATAACAATACATCTCTTGAGGCTAAAAGAAATTATAGTCTTGGTTCTCAGGCACCGCCCGCATCATCATAAAGTCTGCAGCACGTTTAACTTTTATTTCTATATATATATAAAAAAGAAATCCTAATACTTAATAACAATGTGATCCAATACAACATAGTTACTTCCCGTTACATGCGTACTGCTTTACTGCACATCTCATGTTTATGTTGTCATGGCGGCAATAGGAGTTTGTGTGCTTGTTTATGTAGGGAGGCCCTTTCCCAGGTTGATGGTACACATACTGTTTATTTGGTTACATACTAGATTGAAAAAGCAAAAAAACAAAAAAAACACCGCCAGCACTATATTTTCAAAAGTCATCTCCTGAGAACCAACTCTGTTATTTTTTAAGCCTTACTCTTTTTTTATCACTTTTTTGGTGATGGATTCTTGAACTGATGCTTAAAAACAATCTTTTGATAAATTGCATTTGTATGTACCGGTATTTGCTCAGAATACCAAATGATGTCCCCCTTTCACTTGAGGGAAAGCATTGATCACTGTGGTTCATTGTAAACCTTCCCAACATCAATTTTGGACCATCAACCAAAGTCAGATTTGACAATGAGACTGTGATGACTGTGTTGGCCTGATGATCTCTTGAAGAGGCTGTGTACATTATAGTGTCTCTCAAATCATCAACATTCTTCAACTACATGCAAATCAACTCACAACAACCTTCTCAAAATATGGAATCTCATACATGATTAAACTATGTATAACAAATAACCATAGTAACATATAAAAACCTCCCAGGTAGAAGTAGCTGCCAAGAACATTGGGACAATAAATATCTACTGTCTAAACAGTCTTACATCATCCAACCTCATTAAATTCAGATCTTAGTTTCTCGGTACCACTAAACACAGATTTCAGAACATCCCATAATGGGTCATGTCAGAACATCCTTTAGCGAACTTTGACCGACCAATGAAATGACTAACATGACGTCGGCATTAGCCAATCAGAAAGCAGCATTCTCCAGATATACGACACAAGTTTCAAACTGGCGACTTGGCTTTGACAAATATCTTGACAAGTCTTGATTCAAAATTTGAAAACAGAACAAAATAGATGGCGTAGATTGTATGAGAGCACTTTGCACGGGGAATGCTTATCTCATTGAAGCGAGAGATAGAGGATGATTTTGACAGAATCAGTCACAAAGTCCATAACTGGCATTCAGAATACCCTGTGTTAAATTTTTTCGAGATTGTTTGATTAGAAAACACATTCCAACTTTCACTTTCCTGATCTAGTAAGCGATTCTCTGATTGGTCGGATGAAAGGTTGTTCTGACCTGACCCGTAATGGGATGTCCTCTGATCACTGTTAAGTGGCAGCGGGAACTGAGATCTGATTTGAATGAGATTGTACATCATAAAGTCACTACTTCTTCATATGAAATCCCGAGACCTGCTCCTACACTAAGATACTGTCCAGGCTGGAGGAACTCAGTAGCCCTTGAAAGTTCCCAGTGTTGTCAGTGTGCATTTTGAAAAAGATCGAATTCATTGACTGTTCCAGCTGTAAAGCAATTAGCTGCTGATGCCGAACTTGTAAGATGTCGTCTGTCTGTATGTTTCCCCTTGACGTAGAATACAGTTTGGGAAACTTGGCTGAAACAGAAACCTTATGCCTGCAGAAGGTGATGCATTGCCAGCACTGGTCATGTGTATTGCAACATTGATATCACTAGTTGGTTAACCTTATTCAGAACGGTCATCCCACAGAAAGACATCTTCATAACATTGGTTTCATCCGATGAATCTAAGGCCATACATGTATTATTTATCATTTCACGGGCCCGCCACCTCTACTAAAAAGCTTCCGGTCTAAGAAATAAATTAAACAAAACAATATTTAGTTTTATTATGTCTCCAGCTAGTAAAATGGGCCCTCTTATACAATACAAAAAAATTATATAAATTCCATGTCTACATCATTATCAGAAATTCAACAGGCCACTTGAAGTTTTAACTCCAAAGCAGAATGACTTTCATACAGACGCTGATGCTGGGATGCTGTCAGGATAGTGCTGACCCACCTGATTGATGCTGTAAGGGTAGTGCTGACCTACCTGGTTGATGCTGTCAGGGTAGTGCTGACCCACCTGATTGATGCTGTCAGGGTAGTGCTGACCCACATGATTGATGCTGTAAGGGTAGTGCTGACCTACCTGGTTGATGCTGTCAGGGTAGTGCTGACCCACCTGATTGATGCTGTCAGGGTAGTGCTGACCCACATGATTGATGCTGTAAGGGTAGTGCTGACCTACCTGGTTGATGCTGTCAGGGTAGTGCTGACCCACATGATTGATGCTGTCAGGGTAGTGCTGACCCACATGATTGATGCTGTAAGGGTAGTGCTGACCTACCTGGTTGATGCTGTCAGGGTAGTGCTGACCCACCTGATTGATGCTGTCAGGGTAGTGCTGACCCACCTGATTGATGCTGTCAGGTGCTGACCCACCTGATTGATGCTGTCAGGGTTGTGCTGACCCACCTGATTGATGCTGTCAGGGTAGTGCTGACCCACCTGATTGATGCTGTCAGGGTAGTGCTGAGCCTCCAGACAGAATCCTCCGTACTGGGAGTAGTTGGCCCCTCCCTTCCCCGCGAGGTCCTGCAGATAGAAGCTGGTGTAGAACTGCACCCCTGGCTCTGTGGTGTAGCACTCCATCCACCGTCCACTCGGGGGGTGCTCCACTCTGTTGGCACAAAACACTTTATCACACTTCACCTTCATCACATGCAGTTCAGACATCCAAAATGTATGCTTGTGTTGAACTTATCTTGAAATGTGCCATCATGCTTATCATGTTTTTGATTTGAAAATATTCATTACTCCTAATAATTTGCCTTCTCACCTTGCTGCAAGACGCCTTTCTCCAGACAGGGACAGGTTGAAGTTGTGGTCGAATCCTTTTCCACCGGGCACCTGTCCAAGTCGGTCCCCAAGTCGTACAGGGGTCCTCAGGTCCCATTCTGTTCCCTCCACGCCCCGGATCTCACCTAGAATAGATAAATAATGTGTTCAGACAGTGAATTTGATTGTGTATAAGATAAGTTAGATCATGATACATGCACGTTGTAGAAGCATATAAGTTGTGGTGCTGATTTGGATCTGGAACCCTGGAAATCATCATAGAATAGCCCTAAGTTCTTTGTACCCAAAAGTCTATAAAAAATCATTTATAGGGAGCAGCAGCGTAGAGATGGGTTACAGCAGCTGACACAAGTGTAGTATTGAAATGCAGATCACATAAGGGTTTTGTACCTGTAGGAATAGAGTTTTCATCCAGGGGCAGAAAATGTTCCGCATTGATCTGTACAAGATGATCGTCAACCTTCCCTGATGCCTGCCAAGAGATTTTGTAATTTCATTTATAAAACATCATTATATCAAACTATCAGCCATAGGGAGCTGAATGATGTTTTCTATATGTGCAGTCTTCAGTAGAAGCACAACAATGCACCATCATATTCACAATTGTTTGTTTGCTTGTTGTCTATTGCTGCACTCAGCAATATTTCAGCTATATGACAGTGATCTATTATTTTCATGTACTGCAATGCAGTACAACATATATATATGGCAATAAATTTGACACACATGAATTGATATAAAAGATGACACATTGCTGTAATGTTACTGAAGTTAATATTAAGCTCAATATATAAATTGCAATTCCATGGCATTTTATTGGCTAGCCAAGCGATTCTTTTTTTGAATTTTTTAGGCCAAGCCCAAAAGCAGACTACTGTTCGCTGACTGGCTGAGAATAAAATGGGCGGTGCTTATGTTGCGTTAAATATTACTCTGAATGATGTCACTGATTTCATACAGTTGTCTACATTTTTTGTGTGTTATTGATTAAATATATTAAAGTCTTATTCTATTGACATATATATTTATAAGAATATACTTCAACATGTCAGTATATGTAACTCCATAAAGGCAAAAACATATTGAAGTCAATCCTTAATAACACTTTGCAATAACTCTTCCTGGAATACCAAGAATAGTAAGTACAAAGCTTATTTCATTCTATTTTACATGATGGTCTATTGAACCCAGCACAGTATGATTTCAAAACTTGACTTCCTAACTGACCAGTGACACTTGACCCTTTTGACATCTACAACGTTGAGTTTAAATGTTATATTTAAACACATAAATACCAGACCATGCATGATTAATTGTTCCCAAAGCAACTCACATGTCCTCCCAGATTGAAGTAGGCGTGGTTGGTGAAGTTGACAGGTGTTGCCTTGGTCGATGTTGCCGTGTAGTCGATGATCAGCTCATTCTCATCAGTCAGTTCGTATGTGACTGTCAGAGTTACCTCCCCTGGGTAGTTCTCCTCACCGTCAGGGCTGACATATTTGAGGCTCAGTCTGTTGCCATCAACCTTAGCCTCCCATAGTCGCTAGAGAGGTGAAACATAGTGCCCCTGTTAGTATAAACCTCAGTAGGTGTTGGGGATCCATATCAGTAGCGAGATTCTTTACAGGCATTTAGAAGTTGGCATATGACAAGGAAGATAATGGATCATGTGGATGACAACTTCTTCATTGTATATACAAATTACAATGAAGAAGTTGTGTTCCCTGTCAGGTGATATGATAATGACATGGAGTTTAAATATGATTATTGAACTTGTGTGTTATATGTGTGCTTGTACTAATCTGGGCTAATGTGTTTTATTGTGCTAACCCACTGAGATACCATGCCACAGTTTAACATGAATACCCTACTCAGACACAGTATACTGACTCCGAGCCACCCAGTCCTTGTTTTAGCCCCTTAATGTTAAGCTCCAGAATGTATGACACGGCCAGGGATCAAGCCACCGACCTTCCGCTCTCTGGGCAGAAGCTCTATTCACGGAAATTACCAGTCAAAGAACATAAATGTTTCAAAGCAGACTTTTTTTATGAAACTGACACAGATATGATCAATATTTCAACAAAATAGGCCCACCAAACTCAAAAATATGTATTCTGTTCAAGACCATGAAGGACCTGTATAGTTTGGAGACTCTTCCCTTATTCTCACTGGCCCTTCACACCATACGTAATAGGGCCCTAAGTCATACCAAGCAATCAACCTGTACGTCCAGTCTACCAGGGTGGGGCCATAACCAACACAATTCCAGACACTCCAACATCTGACTTACATGAAAAGTTAGTTTACAAATACAAACAATGGAGGGTTGCTAAAACACTTACAAACAATTTTTTAAAGACATATTTGTTTGGGTTCTACAGTGTTATTTCAGAGTTGAGAACCTGTTCTACTGAGGAACACCTGTAAGCTTCATATTATGACTGTTGAAAGTCTTGTTTAAGAGTTTTGACAGCCGTGGCACCAAACATGCAGAATGGGGCCTCATGTCTCAAAGCAACTTTGCACTTCAAATAATCTCTTGTGCCTCAAGTACGATCACAAGAGTTTGTTTGTTTGTTGTTTAACACCGTATTAAGCAATATTCCAGCTATATGACGGCGGACTGTAGATAATCGAATCTGGACCAGACAGTCCAGTGATTGATATCACAAACATCGATCTAGGCAACTGGGATCAGATGACATGCATCAACCACCCGATCGCAAGAGCTTTTTTTTTTTTTTTTTTTCTTTAATGCTGCACTCGGCAATATTCCACCTATATGACCACTTGGTCTGTAAATAATCGAGTCTAGACCAGACAATCCAGTGATTGACATCATAAGCATCAATTCACACCATTGGGATACAATAACATGCATCTACCAAGTCAGCGAGTCTGACCACCCGATTTCCTTACTTGCTTCTTTCAAGCATAGTCGCCTTTTACAGCAAGCCCGGGTTGCTGAAGACCTATACTATCCTGGATCTTCACAGATCCGACGCAAGAGTGTGTGAATATGGTTTAACACTGCCTTGCACAGTATTCCAGTGATATCTCAGTGTCAGCTTAATGTGGGAGGAAAGCCTGAAGTGCTGCAGGTCTCAGACGTTTACCTTTTTAATGGGACCCAAGGACACATGTATGGTGCTGACAAACCAAGAAATAATAATTATCGCAGGAACCAAACCTTCGCAGGAACCAAATCCAATCTATGGAAGGTCAAATAGACATGCGTAAAGAACACAACCACTCAGATCCTTGCATTCAGTTTAAGAAAATGGTAATTCTACTCATCAAAGGAGGACACATGCTTCAGTTATTCATACTGATATCATATTGAGATGTACATATGTTCACTGTCCAAAATAGCTGCCTTTTCTGTCAGGCTGCATCAAATTTTCCTCCACCTACCTGACTGTTGGGCAGATAATTCTCAGACTACTTATTCAGTTTTCTTATTACTCCTGGTAGATTCTCAAGTAATTGTTTGCATGATTTCAACTGAATCAAGACTTGATTTGTCTCTTAGTTTTTGCAATTTTGTAATATTTATAATGTCTGAGTGCGGGCAGGTCATTTTGAAGATGGGCAGGCAACACTTTGGGGCACCTACCCTACTGTCTTGTTGGGTTTAAAAAGTATTTCAACACTGCGTAAGTTCCAGTGGAAAATGCAGATTTAGCTAAAGTTTTGCCCAACAGTGTACTTGCTTATTCTCAGTGTACTCTCACCTTGTCAAATCCTCTCTTTCCTCCATGCAGACTGTTAGGTCCGTTGTTGACAAACAGAGAGTAGGAGGCGCCATCTAGAGTGAACTGTCCACCGGCGATCCTGTTGGCGTATCGACCAATCAGAGCACCCATGTATGGACCCCCAGCATAGCCTAACCGGAAATATGTAGGTCAATATTAGCTTAATCAGTTCTTTCTTCCAAACACACCTGAATTTAAGTCCAAACAACAAAATGTAGAAAATATTTTAGCTTGATTTTTTTAGACAAAATATGTCAGTAGTTTTTAATTGATTCAGTTTATATTTCTGCCATTGATTTATAATGATCATATGTTGGAAGTATACATCAATTAATTCTAAAACATAACACATACTTTGAGTGTCATGATGGAAGTATGCTAAACAGTTTTCAATGAAGTAAAATACTTTACAATTGTGACCCACCAGGACAAAAGGGACCTTATTGATGCTAGGATACAATTGTGCTGTGACGTCATAAAGACGTCTGATGTCAACTTACTTCAGTAAAAATTGCAATGTGTGCAAACTGTACAAACACATCTTTTTTCTCTCATTAGTTCATAATGTAATAGAAAAATCATTTAAAAAAACTTTCGGCATACATGTCTATTTTCCATTGAACAGACATTATATCTAAAAACTGCAATTATTTGTGCACTAACAGTTCTAAGTCAGTAAATGAGTCCAAATGTTTGATGCCATGCATCTCTGTAATAAATATAAATTGAAGCTTGTGAATTCTATTTTTGTGTTCCGAAGATGCTGTAGTTTTGAAATATAATGAGAAGTCAAAATCTGATTTGTCACCCAAAGGTCCCTTATCTCATAGTTGGTCACATTTATTGTTGCAGGCCCTACCTTCCATGTTATCAAAGCCGAGACTGACATCCTCCATCTTGCCCTTCCTGTCCGGGACGATGATGTCAGTGATGATGCCGCCATAATCTAGGACTCTCACGAGGACGTTGTTCTTGTTCTGGAACGTGTATCTGAAATTAGGAAACAGATCACTTTGTGGATTGATGTTTACATTGATATATTATTTTAAACTGTCTAGATAAACAGAAATATAATCTGAGTGTCTTTTGATATTACTTATCAACACAAGTATTTAGAGGCTTGCTGAAGAGGACATTTTCTACTTTTCTCGACCAGTGTTAATATATATGATATCAAACCATAGGAGGGTGAAGTTATTTTTTATCCAATATCATGCTCAGTTATTTCCTACAAACACAATGTATCAATTTGATCACCACAATGAAATCTGAGACCATTTTGAAATTATGAAGGTGCAAAAAACATAAAATTTTATATGAATATACCATCTTCGATATAATAAGAAATAATTAGAAATAGGGGGCTCTTATTAGAATGTTATTTTGGTGAAAAAAACAGAGTTGAAAGATAAATTTCGTGGTTTATGCTGACAGCCTGAAATGTTTATGTACGACAGATATATTTTTCCAGAATTAAATGCCCATAATTAAGGGTGCATATAACACATGAGTGCGTATTATACGCGAATAAATAAGTCTTGTGTACATTGATCAATCGGAAGGGGTGCTAATTGGGATTGTTCACTAGCCAATATCTTAGCAAATGTCGCCGTTGGGGCTTATTAGAGTGGGGCACTTATTACGTCTAATACGGTAATCAGCTGCTTAAAAATGAATCATGTGCAGATCTGCTCCAAATGTAGACCATTATAATTTTTAACTTTTCACTGACTGATATTTAAAAGAAAAGAAAGTATTTCACGAACAGGCTAAGAAAAACCTGTCATATTACCAACGAAGGGCAAAGTTGCGTATTTAATATACACACTGCCATCAATGTTGGTATTTAGGCCTACAGGTAGTATATCTTTGCAAGGCACACTGTAAAATGATGATAACTATACTGGCCTATGTCTTGTATCTATTGTAGCAACTGATAGACTTCAAACGGTTTTGCTTTATGTTTCTCACAGCTAAAAAGTTTTTGTGGAAAAAGAGTCACAAGACTACAGTAAGATTAAATAAACTATAACCTTGAAGCCAAACAATATTTATAAAACATGTAAGTAGTTTTAGGAAATTGAGATAACTTTACAGCTTTGGGGGTTGAACAAGCTGCAAATTGGTTTTATGGTAATATTAACCTGTTTCCTCACACAACCCAAACACAATCTGATTCCGGAATAATCGTATCAGTTGTTGATAGACAAACAAATGAGAAAACAGACAGATATATGATAAAGCTATATTATTGGGGGATCCAATGAAAATCTAGATCTAGTCTTCCTATCGCCGTCTGACAGTGAGTATGTATACCCTCTTATAGACCCCAGTTCTAAGCCACAGGCCACAGCGATAATTCTAGGGTGGGACATTGTGCTTTTAGCCCCTAAATATGAAAAAACGGCCCACATTTTCAAATACAAGGGGGTATTTTAACATTGTGCTGTATGGGCGTACCTCTGGAATATTTGAAATTTTCACATAAATGGCCCATGTCAGAACCTTCCTAGAGTGAACCCTGGGCCACTGAAGCAGGTTCAGTGATATTACTGAAACACTGGACCCATATGAATAAATTGTCAGTCCAGAATTTTCTACACTACACTAGGTAGGCCTACTAGATTCTATTTACCGCTATTTACCCCCATCCCCTTCTCAAATGTTTCAGCCCATGCTCCTGAAATTAAGAGAGGTACACTGTGGGTCCCCACATAGGACATATTTCTTTGAACTGTATAGATAACCATATTTCAGGGACTATGTGTCTCGCTCGTCCAGACAGTGAAATGACACGTCTGGTTCGTGCTGTGGTTCAACTGGTTGTTTCAAATAGATCTAGGTCTGTTTGGTTCCAAACTGTAGATTTACGTATGGATGTCAGATGTCATTAACGACACGTGAAATCAAAGTATGCGTGCAATACTACTGTCACCTTGTAACGGCTTCTCCTACCGCGGATTTACCAAACGAATCTTGACTGATCGACATCGTTGACTTTCACGGACACTGCAAAACACAAAAGCCTTGCGTCGGTCGCGACACGTCAAATTAGAGTTATCTCCCTTGAATCTTACGCCCCGCCCCTCTGCCTACGCTCGGTGAGCCACGCGACACAGCACCCAAATTCCATCCATATTTATTATGCTTCACGTCATAGGGAATGGCCTGTCGGAAGAAAATAAAGCCTAAAAAATGATAAAGATGACTTTGGCTGTGGATACAAATTATTGATAATTGACTTGATTCAAATAAAACTGTTTTCTATAAAAAATCTAGGGGGGCAACTTTATATGTAAAAACATACCAGATATGCTGGAATTGAGATTATGTAATTTCTGCTGTTTCTATTGCAGTACATTTTCATTATCACCCACGGATTGCGTTGGTCCGTAAGGGATCTACTTTCCTTGACTCATTATTATGTTATTAGTATCTAAGGTCATACTATGAATTGTAGCAGTGTCACTCGGGTGACACGGCCATTACGAATTATCTTACCGACATGTTTAAATATGACATTGTAAAAGATTTGTAAAAGAATTAGCGACTTAACACAAATTCAAAACAGCTGTTCAACTGAGCTGTGGTTAACTATGTAAGGGGACTATCATTGACTCGGAAGAAACGTGCGGCTTTTTGCTTCGAAGCCGTGATTTATTCTCCCGCTGTGCAGAGTTGCGTCCCTTGAGCACGCCAGAAACCTATGATTGTGGGTTCGAATCCCGGTTTGCCCCGATTATGTTTCTAGGTTCGTCAGCACCATATCCGTGCTCGTGGGTAAACGTCTGAGACCTGCATCACTTCGGGCTTTCCTCCCACATTAAGCTGACACGCCGTGATATAACTGTAATACTGTTAAAAGCGGCTTTAAAAACTACTCACTCACTATTCTCCCGCTGAGAAATGTGTTTCCCTCCAAGGCGGGATACATAGTATTTTATCAAGATCACCTGTGAAAACCGATGACACAAGGTGTAGACTTGTGTTTATACCAATGTCACAGGGACCTTCGCAGAGATACAACGTATAGGCCCATGTGAGTATGGTTTAACGCCACGTTTAGCAGTATTCCAGCAATATCTACGCGCGGGACACCAAAAATGAGCTTCACATATTGTAACCATGTGGGGAATTGAACCCAGAACTTCGGCGCAGATATACATGTAGACCTTTATACCAACGTGACAGGGTGCCCCGCAATCATACATGTAGGCCTTTATACAACCGTAACAGGGTGCCTCGCAGATATACATGTAGGCCTTTATACAACCGTAACAGGGTGCCCCGCAGATATACATGTAGGCCTTTATAGCAACGTGACAGGGCGCCCGCAGACATACATGGAGGCCTTTATACAACCGTAACAGGGTGCCCCGCAGACATACATGTAGGCCTTTATACAACCGTATCAGGGTGCCTCGCAGACATACATGTAGGCCTTTAAACAACCGTAACAGGGTGCCTCGCAGATATACATGTAGGCCTTTATACAACCGTAACAGGGTGCCCCGCAGATAAACATGTAGGTCTTTATAGCAACGCGACAGGGTGCCCCGCAGACATACATGTCGGCCTTTAAACAACCGTAACAGGGTGCCTCGCAGATATACATGTAGGCCTTTATACAACCGTAACAGGGTGCCCCGCAGACAAACATGTAGGTCTTTATAGCAACGCGACAGGGTGCCCCGCAGACATACATGTCGGCCTTTATACAACCGTAACAGGGTGCCTCGCAGACATACATGTAGGCCTTTAAACAACCGTAACAGGGTGCCCCGCAGATAAACATGTAGGTCTTTATAGCAACGTGACAGGGCGCCCGCAGACATACATGGAGGCCTTTATACAACCGTGGCAAGTGCCCCGCAGGAAAACTTGTACGCTTTTATGCAACCGTTTCTCTCAACAATGCTTAAAAACAATATTCATAGGCAGCAGTAATAAAAATATATTTATTAGCAGGACATATAAACGTGTTTGTCCTACAATCGTGCTGCTCAGTTGGTTGGTATCAATTAGTCATGAGTGTATTCAATCCTGTGCTTGAGAAAGTCGTTAATGTTGAACACAATGTGGGTATGACACGGATATGTGATTGAGGTGACAGTATTCAAGCACCTGAGTAATGTTGATGATGACAGTCAGTCGCAAACTGGGCATATGTTTCATTTATTTACTTTTTCAATCTTGTCATTTGATATATGAATATTTACACAGCGCACATATATTCTTCTCTGGCGATCTTAATATACTCCTTATAACCACCCGGTACGGTAGTGTCATTCTCCCAATACCATACCACCAGGATCTGTGACCATACCACCAGGATCTGTGACCATACCACCAGGATCGTAATAACATCAGGGTCCGTGAATCTGATAATAACACCAGGATCTGCGACTATCATAATAACGTCAGGATCTGCGACTCTCCTAATAACATCAGGGTCCGTGAATCTGATAATAACACCAGGATCTGCGACTATCATAATAACGTCAGGATCTGCGACTCTCCTAATAACACCAGGGTCTGCGACTATCATAATAACATTAGGGTCTGTGACTATCATAATAACAAGTTCTGCGACTCTGATAATAACATCAGGATCTGTGTCTATCATAATAACATCAGGGTCTGTGACTCTCATAATAGCACCAGGATCTGCGACTCTGATAATAACATCATGATCTCTGTCTATCATATTAACATCAGGGTCTGTGACTATCATAATAACAAGTTCTGCGACTCTGATAATAACATGATCTGTGTCTGTCATAATAACATCAGGATCTGCGACTCTCATAATAACTACAGGGTCTGTGACTCTGATAATAACAGCAGGTTCTGCGACTCTGATAATAACATCAACATCTGTGACTATCATAATAACAGCAGGATCTGCGACTCTCATAAAAGCACCAGGATCTGCGACTCTCACAATAATATAAGGATCTGTGATTCCAGTAATTCCCCGTGAGTTGTGATTCTCTTAAAGACCTGGGATCTGGGATTTTACTTATCATCTCAAGGTCTTTCATTGTCCCATACCAGCAAAGTCTGTACTCCCTCTAAGACCCGTGAAAGATCCGGGTAAGAATAGGTCTTCAGCAACCCATGCTTGCCGTAAAAAGGCGACTAAGCTTGTCGTAAGAGGCGACTTAAGGGATCGGGTGGTTAGGCTCGCTGACTTGGTTGAAGCATGTCAGCGATCCCAATTGAGTGGATCGATGCTCATGATATCAATCACTGGATTGTCTGGTCCAGACTCTATTATTTACAGACCGCAGTCGTATAGCTGGGATATTGCTGACTGCGGCGTAAAACAACCAACCAACCAACCATCCAACTCCCTCTAATCCCCCCCAAAATCATGGATTCTCCTCCCCTAAAGTGTCCGTGGACGCCAGACTGGGATAAGGCCACTGCGGATCACTTGTCAGGTACACCTTCTTTGTCAGAGTAAACTGTGGGGCGGGCACCTGTTTATATGTTTCCCATTTGTGACCCATTCGTATCCTTGATATATCCTTGTTGACCATCGCCAGGCAACTCAAGAGGTCCTGCTGATCACCGTGGTTGTCTAACGTTCTGACCAAAGCACTGACGAAATAACTGCCATATTTTGTATTTCTGGCACTGTTGTATCCCTGAACGGTGCTGTGCCCAATGAAAATGTCGGCTTCGTCAGCAGTTGAAATATCCGACTTGTCATCCTGAACCAATTCACTCATGAAATTGCCTCCTCTTGATGCTTGGATGAAGAACATTTTGGGTTTGCCTGCTAACGTTGGACACTTTGATGCGTGGAACATTGACGTAAGATCTTGCACTTTTACTAGTTTACCATCGCTTCCAGCGACACCGTATTCGGTACCATTTGTGAGAATAAAACAAACAAACGCGTCGTACTCGCTGTGATCTTGTTCGGCATAGCTCTTTAGTTTGTTCATCATATCGACTGACGTTAAATCTGTTTGCAAATTTATGGTGAACTGGAGTTTAGTGAACAATTCACTCAAATGTTCTTCGTCAATGTCCACTCCCCCTCTTCTTGTCGGGAAGCCTTTCTTGAAGCGTTTATTGTTGATGATGACACAGATGCCTCTAGGAACAGCTGTCATCTTGTATTCTGAAACAAAAAAACCCAGAAATGTTGCAACAAGGCTTCAAACATTGATCCTTCGGAAACTCTGTGTAAAATAATTGCCTGTTTAATGTAAGAAACCCAGACAGCCTGTTGAATGTTATCGGACGCAAGCATTTGCACAGTTGGACATAAAACAGAGTCACTGATTAATGGTGATTTCAGCATCAGTCCAGAGCTGTCACATGTGTAAACTAAACTGCCGGGTCAAAAAAGTGTACACTTAAAATTTGGATTTGACCAAAAAAATATAACCGTGATCAAAACGTTACTGGGCTGAAAGGCCTAAAACACAACTCTCATACCCGCATCAAATACATCACCGTCGAATAACCATTCCTTGTTTGTTTCATTTTTAGCCACCATCAAATATGGGTGTATACATTCTTTTTCCCGGCAGCTTATAAATAATAAACATTCCAAAACTGTAATGTTCATGTATTGATGTATTATACGCAACTGAACGACAATTTACCTTCCTCAAACTTATCTGTTTGGAACGACAGATCACCCATTATATTTTCAATTTCTTCGATCTCAAAAGAATCTGTCAAGCAGCTCTCATATTCACTGACACTTTCCTGTGCAGTGAAGACTCTCTCTGGTGTTTCTGGAACACCAGTGTCCTGAACGTCGCGAGTGGGACAAGAACAGTTCAGAGTGTCACACTCCAGTTGCTTAAATTCCTTGTGTAGATCAGGATACTTTTTAGCCATGGCAGCAATGATGTCTTTGTCGGACACCTCTTTCCTAAGCTCTGTCCATTTGGTATTGTTGGACATTCCAGAACTCTTGAGATCGCCAAACAGAGGAATTTCTATAATCTTTTGTTGTAGCAAAGGAGTTGCCACCCTTTTGAGCTGTCAATGTGAAAACAAAAATTCTTTAGGGGCTATAGGTGTAGTCATATTTTGATAAATGTAATACTTTTAATAATCACGAAAAACAAATTCCACTATATACTATATTTTATGTATCAGCCGTTCAATAATATTACAGAATCTGTTCAAAATGTTCATCATAATTATTTGAGCTGATGGTCACTTAGTTCACGAGGGTCCAGTAGTATGTGCTAGATGTTGAGAATAGTGCAGCGAATGGGGATTCTAAAAGTAAAAGATAAGGAAGTATGGCGATATCTTCATTGCAGATGGCATAAACGATTTTCTTGTTGGAAACCTGAATATTGAAACAGTCAATTCCTTTTATACGAAACTCCTTCCTCACCTGCACATATCTCCTGGCTCTACAGGCCACGCACTGCTCCTCCTCATGCTCCTCCTCCAGTCTGTCCAGTTCCGAGATCAGCGCCTCCGCCACGTGACGATGATCCTTCCTCAGGGCAGGCAGCAGGAGGCGGTGGAAGTCCTCAAAAGACAGACGCCCCACGATGTAGCTGAAGAATTCCTCGTTCTGACCTCTCCTCGAGTCTTTACCTCTGATACTGTCCTTGTCTGACACGGACATCACATCCGATGCTAGAAGGTCATCAATGATGCTGGATTTGAAGAGTTCAAGGTCACTTGTGAGCAAAGTGTAGCAGTTCCTCAGAGCCTCTCTGTGTATATGACTAACCTTTGACCTCTTTTCTGTTAAATGCAAAAAAAACAACCCAAAACCAAAGTAATAAGTTATTTATTAGTAATGCGGTATTTAAATCATTTGTCACATTGTCTCAGTTTAATGACTACTAGTATTGACACATAAGAAAGGCTGCACACGAAAAAGTAGAAAAAATCAACTTCTGAAATCCTTCATGTTAACCTCTGCACCATGTCTCCACATCTTTTAAAGACTCTTTTTTAGATACCAGGACCTTGACAAAAAACACATGTCTATGAGTTAGTGGAGGTTAAGATATCAGCTGAATTATCATCTATTCATTACCAGTATTTGATGTAAAAAAACAAACCGAAGGAGTCTTTTGTGTGGAATCTCGAGTTGATCTGTTTTTCCATCCGGGTTATCGTACTACGCATCGTCTGGGAATTCTGCTCGCCTGTCACTTGATGTAGCTTCTGCATGTACGTTCTGAACCGCGTCTCCACCTCCGCCAGTGTCTGTGACATCGTCTCCAGCAGGAACTGTTCGACCTCAGCCACTCGCTCCTCGTCATCGGTCGTCTCCACCAGACTCCGGACAAACTCCTTTGCATAAGGCAAGCGTCTCTTCTCCGTGGTCATCTTGATACCTATCTATTAATAGATGTGAGGATAGACATCAATATATCTAGTCACAGGCTAACATAGAACACGTGCAGGGCAGGACGTGCTTACCCTTTTCGCGAACATCTAGTTTCAACATTCATATAATTTTAACCGGTATTTTGCCTATCACGCACGATGGCATTGAGACTGGTTGTTCTTGCGTTGGCGTTTCATATTTCTGTTATACTTGCTGCCAACAGTGCTTTATCTAACCAGTAGATTAGGAGAAGCAACCAAACCTGACACCGCGGATGCTCTATAACCATTAAATTGATTTATAATTGATGAAATCAGGTTTAAGAACTAGTCAGTTATAAACAAGTGGAAAATGCCCAACAATCTCATTACTACAAGAGACAAATGCCCGAGGATGATTTATATATAAGTCGATAACATAACGTGAGTTAACGGTTATATAACAGGTCAAATACCAACATTTGCTTGAATCATATCGATCGTAATGTAAAGATTATAACGCCCGATAGGTTTAAGGCTGGCATATTATGTCGGCGACATGAAGTGTAGAAATACTCAGTGTTATTATGCCAGCTGTCTTGACCTTAGCCCAACTGACAAGCCGAGATTAACACACCCGTGTGTAAACTAGGCGAATTCGATAGGCATAGTATATATATAGATGTGAGGTAAGGGTTTATAGAAATGGACACGGATATAGGGCTGAGAACAATACATAAGGGATGGGATTGTGTTTTACTACATATATGCATACGGACATATTTATTTTCTCATACCAGATCATACCAGATCAACCTTTCAGTTCGAATTTCCCTTTGTCATCACAGCTAAGTAGAACACCAACTACCCTGTCCGGCCCAGTTTCTGCAAGTGGAGAATGAATGCATACATTCGTCTACAGAGTGTATTAATATGAATTAAGTGAGACATGCGTGCATGCGTTATGCTGTTGTTCTGTTTCATGGTACACAACGTCCTCACTGCAAGTGCTGGGCGTGTACTTCCGAGTTAGGAACATGGCGATCAGCGATTAATACTCACACTGTCAGTTTCACGGCTCTGTGTTGAGTACACCAGGACCCAAGGACACGATGACACGAGGACAGCTCAGCTGGAAGAACAGACACACGTGTAACTTTCACCATGGGTCGTGGGCTATTAAGATGCATGCAGACTTTCCATGCAGCGCTAGGCCTACCCCATAACCTGTGCGCTCAGTGAGCGCAGATTATATAGGTCAGAGGGCAAGGGTGTATATCTATTTAAAGAACGGTTTATGTGTGGACCAGTCTCGCTTCGGCTGCTGTGGTATGCGGTTTTCGCTGTGTCAAAGTTCCGCTTCAACGCTTTGCAAAGTCATGTTTATTAATAGTGTACTTGCATTGCGATGCCTGTCGGAATACTGATCCATAGTGCCTCTGGTATTGGTATCCTAGCAACACAGTCTCATTGGGTGAGTTTATCTACCACGGTAACACAGACCATAACCGTGCTCCAAGGCTGTACTGAATACTAAGTCCATGGGTGTATATAACTATACCTGACCACACGGCCCCCGTTTTCCACCCATCAGTTTATTTTTCACACGTGAGACCATTTTTGAGTTGGATTCCATTCTGTGTATAAACTGTTTGTATCAGTGCTCATATGTTTGTAAATGATTTGTCCAATAGCCATATGTCAAAAATTGTTATTGTGGTATGTAATTATAGAACATAATATTGACAAGGCAATGGAATGTGGTATTCAGAAACAAGGACGCCGGTCTCTTATAGGGACGACTTGTTCTTCTTATTTATGTGATCTAGAAATTATGATTTAAACTAACCATTTTTGCATTAGAGACTTGAGCAAGTCTACACAGGTCACATATACACACCGCAGTGTATGTCTTCACGCGCGCATAAACCCTCAAACAAAAAGATCCTGCGGACCATTGTCAATATTCGACTGCAGTCATCAAAGTTATTCATAGTTATGATTCAATTATGAAATTTTCAGTTGATCTTATCAATATTGATTTAATGATTTATGACCAGGGCTAGCCAAGTCATCTAAGGCACTGCACTACGCGGCGCGAGTTGCGTCCCTTGTGCGTACCAGAAACCTATGACCGTGGGTACGAATCTTAGATTCGTTGTGATTATATTTCTAGGTTTGACAGCACCATGCTCGTGGGTTTCACCAGAGGGTAAACGTCTGAGACCTGCTTCAATTCGACTTCACCAGTACCAGGTGTGATGTCCTGCGTTGAAATTCTGGGGATGAGATTTTCGCAGACAATACATCTGAGTTTGGTCTTTTCTCTCTGAAGCTTTGACAGGTCCTTTGTTTGATAGTTTGGATTTGCTAGCTTGTTCTTACCAAGGTGTCATATAAAACACAACACTTGCCCAGGTACCCAGTCTGTTTTAGTGATCCTCTCTGGTATTCTAACCTTTTTCGCAGCTGACTCATCCGTGATAGAACTGGAATACTCTTCAAGGAGGAGTAAAACTCAATTATTCATTTAATTGATTTAATACTAAGATACAGCTATCAAGGAGAATTTAAAAATAACGCAAAACCTCCTTCTAAACCCTTCTACTATGTCTCCTGTATAAACGTATTATTCACATTTTTCAATGAACGTCTGGCAACGTCACCAATTGATGCATTTCTATGGGTTTTTTGGAGGTCAGAATACCAGATGATTTATAATTTCATTTCACCAGGATCGAATACAAACGAACCAAACGCCCGTCGCATACCGTATCTTCTGCATATCTCAGGGTCGAAGAGCGTCTGTGGGTCAGGCATGATGTTACACTACAAGAATCTTGTGTGATGTACCCTGTGTGTGAGCCCATGCACCCCGAGCCTTCAGGCTCACACACACAGTACATCACACCAGAGTCTGTCGTACCGACATTCATTCATACGGTTCCGAAATATATGTATAACTCTAAGTGACGACGCAAACAAACCGAGTTAATTCCCTTTACCCATTGCATTCGGAAAAACATCGGTTCATTTCAGAAACTATACTTATGCGAGATAAGCAAGTTGCCTAAAATTTGTTCTACATGAAATTTGTACCTGTAAGCGGGCTACATGGAAAATAACTGCAGGCTCCTTAACCAATCAGAAACTACTAGTTTAATGTAAGGTAATATAACATAAGTTGTCCACCGATCTCGAGGGGTATGTGGTGTGATGTACCCTGTATGTCGGGCGATGGGAACATAGGCTCACACACAGGGTACATCACACCATGTGGCCCGAGGGATCAGATGACAACGAATTTATCTTACCGACATTCATCAACAGGTACGAAATACGTGTCCTTCGGTAAAAAAAAACAACCCAAAGGGAAGACGAAGCAAAACGAACCGAGTAACTTCTCTTTACCAAATACATTCGGATTCACACAGCTTCATTTCAATTCAAAACTACATATTATTCGAGATATAAAAGTTACCTGAGATGTGTTCCGATTGATCTCACAGTGGGCTACATGAGCGGGCTACAAAGAAAATAATTGTCCGCTTCTTAACCATTTAGAAGACATATTTTAATGTAAGGTGAGATAAATAGCTATGTCTCCTGGGCGAAGATTATATGTTAGTGTATGAGTTGAACAGCTATTCTGCAGAACATCTTTTTGTACAAGTTGTAAGGGGCCTCTCCAGCACTTGCGATTGCACAACTTGGATGTTTGGAATCGCATGTAAATATGAAAACGATGCCTCAGTAACAAATCGCCACTCCGTCCATAACACTCGGTTAACACAAGATAGTATTTATTGTCTCGATCGTAGCGCCACCAGTGTCCAATCAGATTCCACCTCTCATGTCACTTGCATTTTCCTCAAACAAAATGGCGGCGCCCAGTCCAGACGATCCGATCGATAATCAGGATCTTTATTGCAATAAAATGGGTCTTACCCCGCTAAGTACATGAAATCACTTGAGTACCTTGATAACAAGCATACAAATAATGGAAAACATCTGTCGCCGCCCAGTTGACAATACACATGCTCTGCAAATCCTGCAAATTGATCAAAATCTGCAGGGCAGTCGCCATATTGTTTATGAATAGGATGTCTAGTTCGTTCCGCGATTTTGAATGGACTATGCATAGACTCGTTAGTCCAGCCAAAATGTCGCTCCATATTTCCCGCCTTGTTCAGTTAACTCCCTCGTCTCGGGAAAATGGGCAATCACTCACTCTTCACGATCCTCAAAGAACCACAAAAAAGGACATTCATATAAGGAATATTCAATACAATAGAAAACTTCTTAAAGTAAATGCGTAGGAAATATGCTTCACCAAGCAGCACCGGAAGGAATGTTATTTTGGGAGTCTGAGGTCGTGAAGGCAGTCTTTTCTAATTGAAATCAATACAAAATATCACTATTTTGACATATAAGACCCTATTCCTGGAATCGCCAACAGCTGTAATATCCCAATTCATCCAATGTTCACACACACACACACACACACACACTTCACATAGAAACCCTGAGAACATGAGAAACACTCCACATAGCACATGGCGATGTAACCAAACCACGCTTGGTGAAAATATATGATATATTAAACCTTTGAATAACACAATGGCACCATAAATTGATATTTTGAAGGGTTCAAGTGTGAAGAAGATCAAGTACATGTTTTAAATTAGTTTACTGACAGTGATATTGAACATTTGTTTATAACAAATACCTCTCGAAAATAGGTGATTGTACAACTGTAAAAGTAATTTTCACACTGACATTCATATTGAAGCGTATGAACCAGATGGTGTGACACTACACGAGGTTTGTCCTTAAAGGCATCATTCAGAAAACCGTCCAGTAGAAATAACCCTAGCGTCTTTGAGAAAACAGCCAGAAAACAAAACAAAAGTGCAGTAGAACATGGATATAACGAACTACAAGGGACCAGAGAAATCAGTTCGTTATATCCGTTGTTCGTTATATACGTTTTCGCTCGGAAACGTCCGCCATCTTGGATAAAACAAAATACAAGACATGTAATTGCAGCATTGACTTGTTTTAGCAGTGATCACTTCATAGCATTCAATTGATAACATTTTATAACATTCATTTAATAACATTAAATTCACAACATTTTTCGAACATTGTTATCAAATTTCTCTAACTATTGCCCGCCATGATAGCATATGCAAGTGAACTGACACATGGACACAATCTCGTAAAATTTATATTTGTATCCTTTAAACACAACTACTGCAAAGAAGGTATAGGGCTGAGCTGTGCCACGGACCCAAAACGGGCACATTGCAAGGATACAAGTTTATTTGCAACCTATATTTGAATGATATGACGTTGCCTTCTCATTCTACGGCAAATGTAGCCAAGGATAGAGACACTGAGGATCGCTGGTCAAGTGAACCTTCATTGTGAGAGTGAAAATCGGAGCAGGCACCTGGTTATGATGGAGCCCATTTGGAGCCATTTTAAACAGTGACACTTCTCTGTTTATCATTGACAGACAGCTCAAAAGGTCGCGTTGGTTACCATACATGTCCAGGATACGAGTCAGACTCTTGATGAAGTAACTGACGTCTCTGTTGTTCCTGGCACCAGTATAACTCTGCACAGTGCTATATCCCATGAGAAAGTCTGCGTGATCAGCAACAGTCTGGCTTTCTGTTACTTTATTATTCATTACAAGTTCCCCTCTGGATGCTTGAATGAAGACGAGTTTGGGTTTACCCCATAAAGTTGTACACTTTGATGCTTCAACGGGAGATGTAAGATCGTCCATGCTTACAGCGACGCCATGTGTTCCTCGTACACCATTTACTGTGCCATTTGTTAAATAAAAAAATGCATCATACTTGCTGTGGTCTTCTTTGGCACTTCTCGTTAATGTTATCTTCATCTCCTTTGAAGCAAGATTTAATCTTACATCCACAGTAAACTGGAGTTTAGTGAACAGTTCTCTTAATTTCTCAACATCGACTTCTGTGCCTGATCGTGAAGGGTATCCTTTTTTAAACTGTTGTTTATGCCAAGACAAATTCCTCTTGTCACTGCTGTCATCTTGTATTCTGAAACCTTCATTATGCCGTCAAACAAGTTGTTGAGCTGACACTTCCGATTACTATTAATTCTACCATGAATTTGGAAATTACTCAATTCTGACTGGTCGCTAAGAGGTTGTCAAATCACGTTTAACCCCTTCTGATTGAAACAGCCCATTTAGCGAAAGCTAATAATGATTGAATAGTACT